TGACTAATCACGCCGCTGTATTGAACGCAAAAGCCGTTCCATAAAGTGGGAATGGAGTTCTGAGAGAGATTCAAGGAGAAGGAAAACGAAGGGGAGTAAGGTGGGACTGTACATAACTTTCTTAGCTGTAATAAAAATTACACACTGTCGTTACTCACCACATAGTCAAATCACCCCGCTGCGCGCCACAAGTTCCTATCTAATGATGTCTACATGAACCTTGGAGAAGAACTCAGAAAATCAATAAAACAACGTTCTTATTGTGCTTTTCTTTTGGGATTTGGCATCGTCAAATCAAATGGACGCGGACTTATAATTTTACAAAGTAAGTGCCAACCTCGTTATAATTCTTGGACACTCCTCGGGTAATTTAATATCGGCATACGCTTTTTGATGACTTATAACCACGTGCTTCTATACACCATCCGCCTTCTTCTTCCCGTGTCTAACCATCATACACTCCACGAAGTCACTCTTTCCATTTACTGGAACCACCAATCTCGCCTTCTCCTCGAACCCAAAATGCTCATAAACCTCCTTGCCCACTGGACTAGCCTCCAGATACGTCTCAACTCCGTCCTCGTCCGCCCTCTCTAATCCCCATCTCATGAGTTTTCCCGCAGCTCCATTGCCCCTATTTTCTGGCTTCGTAGCTATAATCTCCAAATACCAATGTTTCCTCTCTCCCATAATCTCTCTACGTCTTTCTATCAATGTCCCGAAAAAGTGATTCGCAACTTCTACATCACAACCTCGAGGCCATTCTGGTAAATCGTTGAGTGTGGCTACGGGAGCTGATATATCATTCCATTTTGCGTAAGAGATGATCTCTGAAGTCGGAGAGGAAGAATCTTGAATGCAGAGGAAATGGGATGAAAGATCTTGGATTTCGGAGAGGATGGAGTTGTACCACCAGGTCCATGATACGGGAGAGCGAGGGAAGCAGAGTAGGGAGATTTCGTCGGTGCTAAATGCCGAGAAATAGATGTTTGTTAGGGCTTCTGCGTCGGCAGTGGTTGCGGGACGAAGTGTGAGATTCATGGTGGAATTGAGTTTGGGGGCCAGAGATGCGGGGTAGACTTTGGACTCAGGTTATAGTATTTTGCTGTCCCAAAGAAACGATAGAAATTATGAGTTTTTTTTGGATTAATTGAGGACCATGAAGAATAACTATTGTTTTGAGTGAAAACTCACAGTATGCCAAATAGAGGAATTGTTTCGCAGTCGACCTCATCGCTATCGTCGGCGTGAGTCAGCCTCTGTTCTGCACCATGATTTGTCATCGCTAAATTTTAGTCCGAACTCAGTGAACTTCTACCTTTTGTAACTTCACAAACATCTACATCTACAACTATTTCCAACAACGACAGCGACTTTGAGTAATGTATAGCTAGAGTTGTGATCTAAGATTGAAACTGCAAGGTCGCAGTTCCACATCGCCACACAGTGAGAGTGCGGGGCCCCACACACTCAGCTGACCTTCTGGCTCCTCTTATTCCTTATTTACCAGCAACTTATCCGAACTTATATCGGGATTTCGCCTCAACATCCGGGCCATCAACAAGCATAAATTAGACTTTTGATATATTAGTCCGTTGGAGGAAAAATACACACCAAGGCTTGGGGCCACGGTCACTTTCTCCAATTTCCGTTATCCACTTTTGACCACTTTAATTTCTCGACGTTTCATCTAAGTGAATGATTCCTTTGAGCTTCTAATCTGTTTTCCTGTCGTTTGCAATATTTTGAAGAAGTCAACGTCAAGATGAAAGTTCCTTTTGCGCTTGCAGCTTTGTATCCTCTTTTTCTTTCAGCGTCTGCGAAAACGATACTTGACGTTGAACCAATATATATCGGCCATGTATTCTACCCGCCTTCCATGCATTTCTTGGCATGGACACCATCCCCTCCATCCGTCTCCAAAGAAGTAGCAGAATCACCAAAATCAACAACACCAGAATGGTGTCGAACAGCAATTGACGTATCAGACGCTGCCAACTTCTCAATTGCGCATCCTCAATTCACACGAGGCAATTTAACCAATTTACGGTTCCACAACTACTTCTCGGAAGATGCTTATATTGAGAGAAATGGGGAGCGATGGGGAGAATGTTATATTACACCTGAAAGTAGAGATATTGGGGGATGTACCACTGGAGATCGATGGTTTGGATGGGGAAAACGGACGTGGAGTTGTTGGCCTGTGATTGAGGATGTACCACATCATCAGATTATGGGAGAAGCAGAGGTGGAAATTGGGACAATGATGAGTTTGAGTGTTGGTAGTGGGTATACTGGAGCGATGGAACGACCTACATTGGCCCAAGAAACTGGAAGACCGATGGGTAGTGAAGTTAAGGCAGCATTTACGGCGGTTATGACGGGGTCCAATTATTGAATGAAAGGTTTTTGTTTATCATGATCATTGTTGAACAATTCTGCTGGGCTCCGCTTTATTTGTTCGTGAGCATTGTCGATGAAGCAACGGCTGAAGTGTTACTATGCTAATCATCTCCGCAAAATCAAGACTGCTCCCTCCACCAGACTATTCCCCTCGCTCAATGTCTCCCGGATAAAATTTATCGTGATCAGGACTGAGTCTACGTGGGATGACATGGTCCGCAAGTAGTGTATCTTGTCGAAACATTCCTTCACTTCTCTAGCGCTTCTCACGTTTGTAGCTCTCCAAATTCAAGTATTAAAGACCCAATTGCGCTTCCTCCTTTGTTTTCTTACATCTTCAAAAAAGCTACCTTTCTTCCCGTGGCAATTGATGAGCAACTTCCTTTTCTCACCTTCCTTTTCTCACCTGATTCAATGGAAGATTTAAAAGGTGTGTAGCCAATATATCCACACTAGGATAATCAGCACTTATGGGCCTCAAAATATTGTTATGGACTATGTCATGTTGTCGTTCAGCGTCTATTTCGAACATCATAGTTGTTGAAAGCATGAGTAGTTTGACAAGGACGGCAAAAGAGAAAGATGCAACAACACCAGAGAACAGTATGGCAGTAAAAATAGACCTATTGTGTTACCACGATAGTTCACCTAGCAGTCTTGCGTTTTAATCTGATCTCCAACCCAAAGTTAACGAATTATCTTCACCCCGAGAGGCTGAACTTATCATTTACTCTTTTTTTTCTCTTCGCATGGCAATACCTTTTGGATTCTAGTCTGCGTTGATTACTAGATTTGATACAACTTCGAGTGAATTTCCTCATAAACGTACCCCTGATCAAACATACTGGCTGCTACGCAATTCAATCCTCCCCACTACTCTGTTCTCGGGGCACTGGAGGAAATCCTATAAAAGCTATCATAGAGACTCTCTGTATGGAACAAGCAACATTGATCCGGCGAACGCAGATTGACTAGGAGTCAGTGGTGAAGTTGTGAATTGTTGTATTGTAAAGCACTCCTACTCAACATGGTGTCTCAAACACGGAGAAATATCATTGCCCCCAGCGCGGAGAGGAATGTTTGATCGATTATTGTCATCTCGTAGAACGGGAATCTAGTGACAATAGAGAGTCATAAGTGGCAACAACGACAAGTTATCATACTATCACACAATGCCCAAGTCACCCCGAAATAATTGTTGCCATTGGCCAGGAACTGGACCCGTTAAACATAATCATTATTTCTTTTCTGGACTCAAAGCAACAAGTATGTCTTTGTAATGTCAATAGCTAGTCTCTCTGCGGTCTCTATCACAATGGCAATGTTGGAGAGTTATATACAGGTATGAGGACAAATTAACGGACTTATTGGCAGGCATTCACTCTTAGCCTTCGGTGGAAAATCAAACGTAGTACTTTCACTTGATTTGTGGCAGTTCCGTTTCTTCCAAGGATACTAATTTTGTATCAACCTGTTGTCCTTGATTCACCCTATCTTCTATCTTGATGCGTACTTCCGTCATTTCCAAAGGATATAAAAGAGACATTCTTCTCTTTTCTTAATGGCTATACAATGGACGAAGATAGTTCACCAAGAAAATGGGGTTTTCGGATTTTCCGTGCTGTAAAAACGTCGAGGTTGGAGTTTCGGAAGGCACGTCGCTTTTACTGATTTCCTATTACTTGCTTCAGAGGAATAAGTATAGAGAGGGGTGGCTGATATGGCAAGCGTAACAGTGTATGAAATCGACAACAGTAGTTACATGTCGGCGATGAAAATGCCATAGGATACGAACATTGAACAACAATCACAAGAAAACGATGATCTTTCAGTAATTTGAGTAAATTACGGTTCTCAACAACAATTGGAACATAATATTAAATCTCCTCGCTTTGCATTCATTCTAAGGCCCTCTCAAAATGGACACCCTGCTTCGAAATGCAAGTTGCTACGAGAACAAACGATATGGAAATTGACCGTCTCGAGATCTTTATATACATAGGTAGCCAAGGGTAGATCCATTAAAGGTATTACTTTCAGAGAGTGGCAGTATTCACTCGAAACTATATGACTTGTGAAGTGTCTTCAGGAGTCACACCCATGTTCATAAACTGTATGATAATTTTCAGATTATCCATCACCTTCCGTCTTCTACCACAAGGTCGAGTGCTCCTTCCACGACCATAATGTTCATACCCACTCCCAGATTAAATTTATCCACATCCACTCATCCCATTGACGTAACCAATATGAACGTCCATCAAACAAATTCAATAGGAGATATAGTTCAGTGGTAGAATACACACCTCTCAGTGTGATTCCGAAGATTGAAAAGATTTATGAAAATGAGTCGTGCCTTGGTGATCCGGCAGTTGGAAGATTCTACCGTGAGTGTGTGAGAGGGAAGTTCGATTCTTTCTGTCTCCATATTTTGGCGCGGAATGCGATTTTGTGAGATTTTTTTCTGTTCTTGCCAAATGTTGTTAATCGGTAGCCCTTGCATTTTGTTTGGTCTACCCGCTTCAAGGTGAGTCAAAACGGATAACAAGTAGTTGAATAATTTATCCTGCATAGCATCGTGGGTATCTAGAGACAGATCATTCCTGCACGTCGTCATTCAGAGTTTGATTCGAATTATTTATTCCTCTGTTGGCTATATCCACAAGCCCGAAATCTTTTTGCACAACCTGGATTTGTGGATCAGACCCCTTTATAAGAATGACAGTGATCTCCTTAGATCTCTCCTCCATTGCGTCGGCGGTAGGTTTGCACCAAAACTCTCTGTTTGATCCTCTCATGATCAATGCCAGCGGTGATGATTTCCATACTGGTACTTGCTGTCTATCCATAACAGTAATCACAGCCACGAGACAGACCAGTGAAAGGACTGCCAGGGTTGCAGGAAATGCTATCCACGGCCATTGAACGCGCAAACATGTTGCATAGTGTAGGACTTTCCCAACAGCGGGATCTGAAAAGTTACTGTTCCCATGCGTTCGTATCCAAGCTGTAGCTATGTCTGAAATATTTGAAAATGTTTCCTGTATATCTTCAAATTCAATGTAGCCATCATCATACAAGTCAAACATCATTCGAGGGCCAACCAATCCACCAAATGCAGTTTTCCTACTAACTCCTGGATAAATGCTTAGAGTTAATCCCGGGCTTGATACAGTACCCTCCAAGTTGTCGCCCAACATATCAAACAAGAATGGAACGCCGCGCAACATCATACTTGCCATCAGGTATAAGCAATGATGTGAAAACAGGGATGATACTATGTCATCTTCAACTTGAGATGGGATGAAAGACCTGTTAAAAGCAAGCCATCGTGAAGAAGTGTCAATTTTATAGCCTTGTTCTGACAACCCCTCCCTTTCTCTATCCGTTACACAGTGTGTATCAATCATTCCTATCCAAGTTTCACCGCTGAAATCCCATCCATCACCGGGTTCTAAACTAACACCCCAAGCATCTGTCGCAGTGCTGGAAACCAGGTGTTCAGTAAGCCGAGTTCCGTTTATCGTTGCATTGTACGTGCGGACACATGCCTGCAGCGAACATACCGCCGCACCATGTCCTTGGAGCCGCCAAGGATTCGATGCCAGTGTCATATTATGATCTATCCAAGGCCTCGACATGTCTGCATCGAGTCGTTTGATTGGGTCTATGGTCCTCGGAACTATTATATACATTTTCTCGCCGGGCGCGCTGCCAGCTGGATCGTTCCAAATTCTCGATATTACTAGTCGGATGGGGTCAAGGCCTTCAAGTCTCATCGTTGTCTCATCAATTGTCGAATTAATCTAATAACCAATCAATGGGTCTTCCGGATCAGGAGGATAGTCTCCCACGTAAAGACTAGTTGTTGCGATAGAGCCCAAAGATCCAGCACAATATTCTGTTCCGGAAGTAATATTAGTGTTAGCCTCTTCATCATAACAGGTAGTCTCGAGGATGAGTTTACCCGATATATCTTCACAGCTGCAGCAGTATGCCAGTGTCTCATATGTCTCTGAAAATGTGCAGTTTCCTGTTATACATTGCCAGGTCATCCAGTCTTCTGGGGCGTAAATTGCAGATTTAATTGGTAATCCGGAAGTAGGGTCCATCAATGTGCTGTGTACATTGTCAAACTGGTTGGCTCTGGGCAAAGTCGCCTCAATATTCAGTGTTGCTACCTCGCAATCGTATGGCAAAACTAGTTGCTGGATCAAAGGATCAATAGCGACCGCAGCTATCAATATTATGGCACCAAGTCCAGTGAGTGGATTTCGAATATGCTCAGAGAACAATAACTGGATGGAGCCCCATGGTCCACGAGTAGCTCTATCATAACAAACGATGTCGTAAAGTGGACGACGGGAAGAAAACCAAAACCACTGAAGCTGTCCAATGCACGAAGTGACAATGAAAATCAAACACGTTTTAAACACAAGACCGTGTATAGATAGAAGTGTGTTGATTGATATTTGGAACGGCCACTCTGGTAAAGGTTTTCCTGCATTGGGGTATAGTGTCGCGACAATAATGAATGGACAAGCAATGACGATAAGGCTTGCAAAGAATTCCCACTTCCAGTCAACATAATACTCCATCAAACAATGGCGAATGTCATGGAATTTGGCTTGGGATCGCGATGAGATCGATTTGATAGCTATATCCGATGTACGACTACTGGAATCGAGAAGAGAAGATGCATCACTGAATGAGGAAGAAAGTTGCGGTATCGATTCAAATTCGTGACCTATTGGTTTGCTCTGAGGCCGAGATTGACGTCTTAAGCTTGGTGGAGTGATATCGATTTCGCCGAAATCCAGGCTAGGGAGGCTCGGATGAGTCGCCACCGTATTCTCGGTGCTCTGATCGGACATTTCGAAAAAAGATTCAAAGTTTGAGAGGAAAGCAAAGATTTCCACAATATTGATCCTGGAGGTTGAGAATTAATTGATGAATTTGAATAGATCGTGAGGCTTAAAGTAAATAGTGACTAGATCTGAATTCAGGCTTAGTAGGGCCAGTCTTTTGATAGTCTGTATGTAAGATTATAACGGCATTGTAAACATATTTTCCCAATCAAAGAAGGACGAAGTAAAATATCTTTGTCCGAGTCATGAGAAAATGTTTCTCTTGCAGATAAAATCCCCCACGAATGCAGGAGACGGGCGTAGGAATTGTATAGACTTTGCCACAGAAAATTTCCAGCGCCTTTGTTGCCAATGCATCGAAGTGTGCCCATTCCAAGAAAAGTGGCATAGAGATGCACGTGTGAATGGACGATTGGAGCTCGTTTAAGCAGTGAGAAATTTGCTCTTAAGTTGAATTACCAGACATGCATTTCATTAATAAGATATCTAAAGATTACCAATTTTACGAAACACAGCCTTGTGGATAAAATTATCCCGGTACAAGTTGATTCGCATTGTCACGTTTTGCAAGTACTCGTGATGAAATAGCTTGTTGGGCTCTCAATTATATCCATATCGCTAGAAATTCATCATCTAATTACAAACATCTTCATATCACCCTCTTATCCTTTTCTCTACTTCACTGTCTCAGATGATAAAATTGGTTCTCCCATTCCACCATTCTTCCTTCTCGGATCCTCTCATCTACTTATTTGAGGTCTTCAGTTCGTGTTTTTCTTTCGATTTCACGACACCAATTGGTTGGAGAATACGAATATGGAAAGTTCAAAGATCTCATTGCCACAATCAGTATTTTCGATAACGCCTTCCTTCCTCGACACGCTTCAATTTCTCTCTTCTGACGCTCTAATATCCACTTTGTCAGTCTGAAAGCTACCAAACGAACGATATCACAGTACAAACTATTTATTTGAAGAAGAAATGCATGTCGGCAGCTATATCAAGGCTCAGAATAATATCATCTTTCTAATTTCACCTGGATCTCCAACTCCCAGGCTCTCGAGCTATAAGCTACATTGATACGTGCAATCTCATACAAATAATCTGATTAAGAAGTCTTAAAAGCTTAGCTCCATCTTGGTTTGTTTATAAGGATAAGTTTTTGAATAGAAACGCAGCCAAAAAGAGCTGACAAAGACATCGGAACTAACTAATGGGGCTGAAACATACCAAGTGAGATTTTTTTGTAGAAGTATCTTCTTCCTGGGCCATTTTTCAATGAAAGAAACATTATAGAGAATATCAAACTCTCAAGTGCCTAGCTTCTCTACGGATCCACAATAGCTCACTCGAATTGACTCATTGAGAATAGTGTGAGAGGTATTTATCCAAGGGGTGAATAGACAATTTATTATTGACTCATGTTTCCAAGCTCAACTTCTCATTGAGAAGTCTGACCTGCAGATTCACTCACTGTATGGCAAAACTTAGTAGCAAGACTTCGATCCATCCTACACCCAATCCTATCACATTATCATGTGAACAGTACAACTGTCAATTCCAAGAACCCGCAACACTATGAAGACTCATTACCCTTAAACATCAAGGATCCAAGAATGGGTAAACCTTGAATTCGTACAGGGCTGGATACCATCGAAAGCATGAGTGTGGCATAAGTCATCGCCATATACAGGGATACCATGAGAATTTGAGTTACAAGCATTAGATTGAAGATCTAAATGACAGGGCTTATCATCAACTTGACAATGAACTATTTCGGCAACAATGAGAATGAAATATGGATTTCTAATGAAAAGGGTATAACACAACTGAGAATTTCTGCTCATGTCATGTGATCAAACCCCGAAAAGCCAGTAAGAATATCAGGAAAAGTAAATCTGATTACAGAAAAAATTCAAATTTCATATTGGCTTTCAAGGACTGAATCAAACGCGCTTCCTGCTAGAAAGAAGAACGTTGTTCACCTGAGTTCTTAAGCACGTCCCAATTCTCTACAAAGCGGGCCTCCTAATTTAAGCGAATGAATCTAAGTATGATCTTGTTTCCTTCGCCAGAAGTACAGTACTCAGCTGAGACTCCCACTGGTAGTGCGGATCTGTAATGATTTTAATTGAATTTCCGAACATCTCTACTAGCCGCTTAAGGTCAATCTACCATTTCACTGTCGAAACTCAACCAAGAAGATTCAAAAATGTTCCGCAATATCCTGCCCCACTCTTCACTTCAGCTTCCCCCCTCAGTCTTCCAACTTTACTGTATATAAAGACTGAATAATCTTAATTACCCAACTATCAAGATAAAAGCATGAAGAAGCATACCATACTATTGGGGTATACTTGAAGACTTTCAATCAGCACACATTGATATGAAGTACAGATTTTTTATTCTCAAGTCAGAGGGGCTTAGGCTCGAACAATAATCGTCGGAAGGAAGATTGTGACTTCAAAATTATGATTGTGATTTAAAATTTCATGACAGTGCTCAAATGTTTGACGATAAAACTTATTTACACGCAACAAAAGATTTTGCTTATACAAAAGCCAAGACTCCCGACGATGAAAGAAATCCCTGGTCAAAACCTAAAAGATAAAAATTTCACGTACGTCTTGTCCAATTCGAACGCACCTTCAACCTGCAAAAACTCGCCATATTCTCCCATGTCGTCCTATCCTCTGCACTTAGTCTTTTACTCGAGAGTAGCAGAATTGCTCCAATCTTCGAGAAAACTATATACCTGATCTTGAGGGAGATTCCAAAATGGTTGTGTATTCGGTGATTGAATCAATAAATTTTATTCAATGAATGTATCGGAGTCTTAAGCTCAGCCAAGTAAGATAATAAAATATGGAAGGTGCGGATATATTCACTCCCCAAGTAGATGACAAGGACACAGAGGAAGAAGGGGGAAGATAAGGTTTTCGTTTTCTATATATACCACAAACAAACCAAAGACTTCTCACTGCATCCAATAGGAATCAGTTCACCGAAGCTATAAAATAATAATTCAATCTCTACAGAACATGCAGCAATAGGAGAAGTCCTACCTATCACTTCCAGAAGGCCGAGTCCCTTCATCCCTCACAGAAAATTCTCGTTAAACTAAGCGAGATGTTTGAATAAAGGACAACGATTAGCTTTTTTTGACGGTCATTATCAATGAATGACAGTAACTGAGAGCGTGATTTATGATAATTCCTTGCTACCATTGAAAGATGTAACACAGTTGACGACGACGGCAAAGAAGATAAGCTTTTAACAAGCCTCCAAATATTCTGAGCAAAACCTTCGCAATGCGAGTGCACCTTCACAACTTGACGACGGGTGACAGAAATTCCAAAGCCGCATGTCCTCGATACGAGCATTTGTACGATTCTTCAATTGAAGCTTCAAACACCAAAAAACTCAAGTATATATGCGTCGTGATTTCCCAAAACTCTTTCCCCAGTCCCCACTTCTTTTGAAATCCGAATTTTTTCACTGAAGTTGATCATCCACGCTAAAACTTTTCATTCTTCAAAGCACTAGATTTGATTGAAAATTGTGCCTCAATCATCCAATCTGAGCAAAGCCCGTCTCGGGATATGTATTCGTGTGAAATTTCACTCTACATCCTCTGGGTCCCTGAACTTATTCTCCTGACTAGATATATCAGAACCAAAACTTAACTTCATTGTATGTCTGTCTATCAGCAGTTCTCAAGTAACTGAAATCTCTACAACGTAACAGCTAAGTTGGAAATGTAAAATAATGAATAAAACCCGTCCATATGCGAAGTACTCTAAGCATCTTATCCTAGATGCATAGGAATGGATCGAAAATGGGGGAGTACCTAAATTGTTTACCCAGATTGACATTTCCCATTTTCGAATTTCTCCCTTACGTTCTTCAAAACTCCCAATCACAATCTCATCTCCACTAAGCCACCTTCACCACATCACCCAACATTCCACTCGAGCCGCCTCCAGATTCACTCGCACTAACCAACTCATCCCACTCCAACCCTCCTAATTTTCCCCCTCCGTGCTCCTATATAAAGTCCCCAACTATCAAACCCCCAAGATAACCAAAGCAGGAAGAAATTGATCCAGAGAGTGATTAGACAACAGTCCCGCGGCTCTCTCAAATCACAATACAATACCCGCAGAATGAACTAGATCCTCAATTTCAAGAAATGCGAACCAACCAATTCCGTGTAATCTAAATTTCGACAATGAAGACTTTCAACGACAGAAAAAGTTTCGAAACAGCCATCCACAGCAAAGACAATGCGGTAATGATAAAACTGCCCAGTAATCATCCACAAAAAAAACACCATCCCCAACCCTAAAATCCCCTCCAACCCTCCATCAATCCCCTCCATCAATCCCCTCCATCAATCCCCTCCATCAATCCCCTCCATCAATCCCCTCCATCAATCCCCTCCATCAATCCCCTCCATCAATCCCCCTCCACCACGAAACCAACCCCAAACTCCCACCCAAAAGTAAGCAAACCCACAACCCAGCACCGCTGTATGCCCTAGTCGCCATATCCCATCCACATTGCACAATATCATCAATCTACCCCCTTCTCCGAACGATATTTATATATTTATATACCCTCCTCTCCCCGTTCCTTTCCCTGTATGTCCCAGAGAATACATCGATTTACGCATTTACTCGCCAAATCTTCATTTCTTCTTTATTGAGCTGCTCTTAGCTATCCATTAACCGCAAAATTCAGCTAGAAACCCACGGATACAACACACATATACACACACATACACCAACCAAATATCCCCCCCCCCGTCCCGTCCCCAGAAACATCTCACCAAAAAACCAAGACCTTAAAGAAAAATCGTACACCTCAATCACACAATTCTCTTCTGGAAGTTTTAAAATTCATTCTCCATGTACTCTCTAGTAATTACCAAGAAAAAAAAGATGATCGTATATTTATTTCATTAAATACCTACTTCTAGATACCTACCTAGCCTTTACCATTCCCCTTTGCTAAGCCATTTAATCTTCATTACCTAAAAACTTTCTTGGATCCAAGCTGTGAATGTCTGCACTCTTTGCTTCCCCTTCAAACACAAATTCACTCACCAATTTTCCAGTCGCACAACTATTTTGAATACCCCAACATGTATGTCCTGCTGCGAGAAAAAGTCCTCGGATACCCGTATGTCCGATGAGAGGACCGCCACCACTACTAGCTAATGGGAGATAACATGCTTGTCTGGCTAGGACTTTTCCTTTTCGCAAAGGATCGGAGATAGATCCTACGTAATCTAGAATATCATCGCAACTAGACTCATCGCATACGACTAAATTTGAAGATTTAGGGAGAGGAATTCTCTCATCTCCTTCGCCTGTACATTTATTCGTCAATACCAATCAAAAAGGATGAATGAAGAAATACATACCGCAAGCATATACTGTTCCATCAGGTCTAGCATACATCTCTGGATTGACCATCTTATCATGTTTTCTCTTCTTTGCTCCATCTTCACTTTTTCTTCCAAATCCCTTTGGTAAATCGATTTCTGTAAAGACTGCCCAAGGAGATACTTCTGCTTCAATCACAACACTATGTGCTCTTTGTGAAGTAATTGGTGCTTCTGGCCATACATGACTGGTCCAAGGGCCCGCAGATAATATGACATCATTCGCAGGTAACATGTGAATATGTTTCGTCTCCTTGTCTTCATAAGTAACACCCTTTACATGATTCCCCGTGTAATCAATTGCGGTAACCGAACCATAAATAATTTCGACTCCCTTTTCCACCGCCAATTCTGCCATGGAAGTGGTGAATTGATATGGATGTACTTGTGCTGTGGTCTCTGGAGTTCCCATTTCCGAATACCATTTAATATTATCATTTTCGAACCAATCTAAATTCGTTGGAATATCATCTCCCTGATATTTCTTTTGTTTCTTCATATCGCTTTTGGGTAACTTTTTCCAAGCTTCTCCTTCATTCTCAGTTGGTTCTTTAGGATCGGCTTCCGAGATAAGTCGTGCCTTGGCTCCTATGGAACCACAATGCAATTGACGATAACCCCATCTTTTTGCCCCATCATGTTCTTTTGCCAGTTCGGCATGAAGTTTGTATGAAAGTGGTACAATTGAGGCTGGACGTGCCCATAATGCAAGCAATCCACCTGCTTTTCCGGAAGCTGCTGATGCGATGGATTGAGCTTCGATGATGGTAATTTTTGTTGTAGAGGGGTTATATGAGGGGTGGCGAGTGAGGTAATAGGCAGATGTACAACCAATAATTCCACCACCTGTTGAGAGTTAGAATGATGATGTGATGATTGAAGAAACAGAGAATAACATGCCAATAATTACAATATTTCTTTTCTTTTCCGTAGGAGAAGTTGGAGAAGTTGGAGAAGTGGCCGTTGTCGTTGCCGTTGCCATTGTTCGAATCAAGTGCTCGGATTGTTTCTTGAGCATAATAATGTTTATACAAATAGAGTTTCAGGATGGACAGGTACTGAGTAGCCGTGCTATGGTAGCTTGAGAAAGGCTTGAGAAAGGCGTGAGCTAGAGTCAGATAAGACCCTTATCTTAGCCTGAAATGGTCTAAGCTGGCTTTACTTAGTCAGCTGTATGAGTAGTCAGCCAGTCAAATACCAGCCGGTCGATGACTAATAATTGATAAGTTTCTAGTGGTCAACTAGTCATTCCATTCCCACGTGAGAATACTTAACTAGCTACTAATGTTTCGAGTGTTTGATGCTTTTTGCCGCTTCACCATACTGTTTTCGTCTTCGGCATTCCCCGCTATATTTGCTAATCTAACCTCGGAATAAATGTTGATATCTCCACTTTATACTCAGGTAAACTTTAAAATTTACTAATTCCAACCAATGAAATCACTCCATTTTCTAATTCCTCCACGGCATCAAGATAAATCCGAAATTCCTTCCCTTGCCTCAAATTCACACGCTCTAACCCCAAAACCCTCTCAGACCCCTCACAATCCCATACAAAAGCTGTACCATCTAGACCTCCAGAGCCTTCACTTTCTTACAAATATTCCCCTTCTTCAAACGTCATCCCATCTCTTTATGATACCCATACACACACACTTCCAATCCAAAGCGATTCGATCAATACGATCCCTTCATAAAACCCACTTCCCCTCACATTTCCAATCCTCTTCTTCTTTCTCTTCTCTCTCATACATCTTCGTCGCATTCTCTCGACGAAGTACCTCATCATCCAATATTTGGACATCACGCAAAACAGATTTAACTTTCAAAAAACATTCCCAAAATTACGTGCAACAACATATCAGAAATATCACCATGTCGTCCGCAGCTACCATTTACGAGTTTGAACCTTTGAATAGTATGTTTTCTTTTTCGCATTACTTTGCATCACATTGCATCGCATTCGCTCGCATTCCATGGCACATCATCTCACCGCATCCCATTGCATCTCATCCCATTCTTGCATACATCCTACCCCTCATGTTCGCACACGAGTAATCTTCACCATCATTATACTAACCACCCATCTCCTTACAGAAAAAGGCGAACCAACACCCCTCTCAGAATACAAAGGCAAAGTCCTCTTAATCGTCAATACAGCTTCCAAATGTGGCTTCACTCCTCAATATGAAGGACTCGAGAAATTATACAAAGATATGAAGGAGAAGCACGGTGATGATTTTGTCATCTTGGGTTTCCCTTGTAATCAATTCGGAGGTCAAGATCCAGGTTCTGACGAGGAAATTCAAAGTTTCTGTCAAATTAACTATGGCGTCTCTTTCCCAATTGTACGTTCTCTGCATATTCCTTCTTTGGATTATGACATGCCATCTATTCTTGACATTGAATCAATTGGAATTTTTACTAACAATTACTACACAGATGAAAAAAATCGACGTAAATGGCGATAATGCCGCTCCTCTCTTTCAATGGCTCAAATCAGAAAAACCAGGTCTCCTCGGTCTTCAACGCGTCAAGTGGAATTTCGAAAAGTGGTTAGTCGGTAGAGATGGAAAGGTCAAGCAAAGATGGGCTTCCACCACCAAACCAGAGGCTTTGGAGAAAGCAGTCACAGAGGCTTTGAATGACGCCAAGTCTGAGCTTTAAAGGGATCTGAAAACTGCGTGGATGTATGATTGATTGCGAAGAAGATGAGAAGTCTTTTGGACATTTTCAAATGGGTTTTGCTTGCTTGGTGTTGGTCATTTGAGAGGTGGAAATCTGATTAATTCGTGGTTGTGAATTTTGTATGCGGGGATTATACCATAGAATAAGAAAGCTTTTTGATTTGATTGGTGGATTGGTTCTTTTTACCTGTGCTGGAGATTGTATGTACGTGCGTGCGTGTTACTTTACAAGATCATTGATACGAAGTGAACTAGTGGGGCTCAAAGTGGACACCCTCCCCCTCTTCCATTTTTCTAAGAAAGTTCCTCAACTCCCTGTACTTTCCAAAATATCACGAGTCAGCAACTCATAGGTCGGTCGCTCATCTAGTGGAATCTCCTTGTGCGGGATGTTGTATATTCCAAGGTTATTTCTGGAAGACTAAATCTGAAGTTGAAGATTGAATGGTTTTGGTAGTTTATTGATGATGAAGTAGTTGTTTACCGATGGGGGTTGTTGTCGTCGTTGTTGGCGTGGATATTTCCTTTTCTCTTCTCCTCTCCATATTCATATTCATATTCTCCATCAATCCCCCAGAAAAAAAGAATACAAACACCCACCCTCCTATAAATCCAGATCTCTAAACGCGACCCCCTCCCCCCCCCAAAAAATCTCAGTTCACTCTTGTATTTTATTCAAACTATATATATTGAGATTGCGCTATACTGATTTCTTGTTGGTTGATTTTGAGGGGGGGAGTTGTTATTGTGGATTTAGGGTTTTACTTTTAAATGGATATTTGGAATTGTTCACTGTCGGTGCGGAATTCTTGGATTTTTAGATATGTTTGGTGAAAAGATGGATAGTTGAGTGGGAAGGGATGGATGCTTGATGGTATTGAGAGGTGAAGCAGAGTGGGGATCGAGGAGTGAGGAGTAAGGAGTAGAGACGGAATGGAGAGGGAGATGGAGATGGAGATGAGATGGAGGGGAGAAAGAAGTTCAATAGTTCTTTACACGCGTGTTTTAGAGGAATTTAATGAATGGTTCTGAGGGGGAGTAGGAGAGCAGTTTATCGGGTTGAGATGGGTTTTTTGGGGTGAGGAATAAAGAGTCGGTGACTTCGATGGGTAGTATTGTGAGCTGTTGGGATGCATACTGCGGGGCTCTTTGGAGAAAGAAGTCGTGATTTCTGAGATCACGAATCGATCCCAAGAAAGTATAAAAACGGCTGCTACAACTAGATTGTAGAAACCAGGGTGTTATCCACGCGGGATACCTAAGATTCAGGGACTAGAGAATTCTCGGAAGTGTATGAGACGTGGAGTTATTCCTTCTTCTCTTTTCTTCTTGGCTTTGGGTGGATTGTTGTGTTACTCTGTGAGGAGTTTCCGCGTCATGTTGTCGTTGAGAATTTTGATTGTTGGTGAGCGGTGTTGTTAGTTCGTCTTGATTCAATTATCGTGCTTCTCGCATACCATAATATCTCTTCAGGATCAATTAATAGCTTTCTATTTCCTCTTCATTTTTCAGAAGTCTCAGAGAATCAAAGAGTCAAATGAATTTCCAATTTCTACTTTCCAGCCCTTGTTGCCCAATTCCAATTGGCCAGAGTTGTTTACTGTTTCGAAGTCGATAAACAGGATATTTTATACCCCAAGGACCATATGTTGATTGATGTACAGATAATCCTAACTGTGATTAGCCGACTCGAGTATTCAGGAAGATTAGACGATTATGCTCATTATTCACCTCGTTAAGTAAATCGATGTTGTGAATCATCGATCCACACTCCTCACTCCTACTCTGATATTTTGCTCTACATCTCTTGATGCACGAAAAAGTTCAGAATGAGAGGCATATATATATATATAGTACCACTTCCCTGACCACTAGAGCCACTAAGTTTTAGAAAGATGTTGACCAAATTTTCAAGAAGACGCAGTGTTTTAGTGAGAGGTTTTATACCGTCAAAGGAATGCATCCGAATGGGCCGGAAAATCTGTAGATGCAAACTGATTTGTAGTGGAATTACTTGTTACTTTTGGTTTATGATATTTTTTTCCTATTGCTAGCGAGTTTGAATTTTTGTTTGTCGAAAGTGCAATGGTGGGGTGTTCGTTTTCGTTGTCAAAACTACCAAACTCATCCCTCGAAATGTAATTCATTCGTACTATCGACTACTAAGACTTAATGATTGGGAGATTGCAAGTATGAGGAGCTTTTTTGTTTATGTATCCTTCTTCATGATCCCCCTTATCTCTGTCTTTCATTTTTTTATTTACTGTTTACCTAGTACTCTTAGCATTTCGGTTGTATTTATATCACACCTGCCTTGAGATTTCTCGCTTAAAAGTAGATAGAACACCTAACGCTAGTATTGAGGGAGTAATTGGTGAAATGCTGGGTGGGTGAAGAAGAATGGATATAAGGATTGATTGAGTGAATGAGGTTGCGTTATCTTTAGTGCCTTCATCATGTACAGTGAGTTAATTTCTTGTATTCACTTTTAAAACTATCCCACCAACTCCCGAACTAAATCCCCACAAATCTTTCATCAAATTTTCAAATTTCAACTATGTGAAACCTCCCACCGAACGATCCGTCTAATTTTTTGCATCCACAAATGTTTAAATCGGTCGGGACAGGGATCTTGTGACCACATTAGCGCTTGCGCTAGTGCCTTGGCACTTTACCATATAAGTTTCGTAGCCCTAGCTTTTAGAACCTGAAGCAATATAACAACAGTGTGAACCATAGTACAATATTATCTTCACCATCCCCATCGCGACAGGAGGAAAAACAAGAAAAATGGGGGTTGAAACTATCTCTCAATTCAGCATGACTTACTCTCTGCATTACTACTCTAACTTGTGGATCTTAGTATATAAATATAACCAGTTAGGGAGTAGAAATTCAAGATTATTATAGAAAAACCTTTTATAAAGAGATAAGATATTTTATTATCGATTACCCAGTACTTCTTTTCTGTTAAATTTTGAATATCATTATTATTCAGAAATTCACGTTGTGATAGATTGTAGATTGTGATCACACTCAAAAATGTCTTTGGGAACCTTGGAACTCTAGGATCAGTGTGCTGGGTCATTACCTGAGAGTCACACACCAACTTAAAAGACTGTTTGGGTCTGAATCTTGGGAGATAGCTTCGTTCTTACTGCCTGTTTATGATTTCTGGAATATACTTACCTCAGGTAAGAAGCGGAAAATATCCATACTATTTTATAGCTGATATCGTGATACTTCGGAGTATGAGGTCGATCTTGTACGGTAGAGATGTTCTCTATAGTTGGGCTTTGGTGGGGGTCATACCCCTCACTCTCAATCCACCTCTCATTTTCTCTTCATGTCCACAATCAAGATGAGACCTCTTTCCAATATTGGGGTATATAAACATCCCCCTCATTGATTCACAAACAGTATACAGCATAAATTGAGATCTCTAAGACTAAGGAGACTCAGCAAGGAGATTATCGGTGATGAATTATTTATTCTAGAACTCTCTTGGGGAACTTCAACTAAGGTTATTCACGTCTTGATCTGAAAATATTGGTGGAAGATGCCACTTTTTATTGTCACTGACCGGGGATCTATTGTCGTTGAGTTTGAATTAGAGACTATTTTCATTTACGCATTCACATCAGCAATACCGCCAGGAAACTTTTCTTGTCAATCCACTAGAGCGAAGAAAAACACAATGTATGGGAGGAAGAATACTCGCAACCAGGTAAAATTACTTATTTTCATGTTATTTACACATTAAAGTAGATCTTTCTCTGAAAACTGATCCTCTTTGATAGGGAAATTGAACAGGAAGATATTCGGTGCTTCTTATATTTGGGAATTGGACTATTCACAGGAGTTTTAAACACGTCATCTTCCTCCAATTGATTCAAACAGCTAATTTGAAATTACCAGAGTGGACTCCAAGATCGATCTACAATTCATTCACTGACTTATACATGAACCGCGTACATCTCTCACTTGGCGAACAGTCTTCCTCTTGGTACCTATATAAAGAAGTCTTTCTGTCACTCCGAGACATTATAGTTTGTGAGCACTCATCTTTTCCGATACAAGGATGACGCATTCATACCTCTTAAATTTCCTGTATATTCGATATTACCAGAGAAGTGTTGTCCAACAAGTTAACCCATTGCACCGGAACTTGATCTACGTTCCCGTCGTCAGTCTTCCATGAATCACGTCGATCTTGCGATTTTTGTCACTTCCCTCAATTCTATTGCTATAAATCATCAGCTTATAGAACGAATTCTTACACCCTTCCATTCTCATTCTCATACGGGTGAATATGACAGATAATTTTCTTAGGCATAAGAAATTTGCTTGTTCTGTTCTCGTCTCATGCGCCATTGAAAATATAACTTTTTCTAGTTAATTCATATATGGGTTGCACTTCTCACTCTTGGCTCTCTGGTATGTTTTTATAATGATGGATGATGGGATGTGGGACTTCGAGAAGCTCGGGAGTAGGCGCTAGTGTAATAAGTCCGTGTCGCTCGCTTAGGAAGAAGGCGAGAGGAAAGTTCAAGATATATCCTGAATTGCTAACTATATATTTCTCGTTGTCTCTATGCAGCCAAAATAAACTGCGCCAGAGGTTACCAAAAAAATACAAGCGTTGATTCAGGTTGCCTGATTTGTGCATGAATACCCGGTTGTTCACGATTGAGTACATCAGGGAGCGGGCTCGAACTATCCAGACATAGTTCTTGTCATTGTCGTCGTCGTCGCTAATTACTGTCGTTGAAGACACATGGGCGCGGATTGTATGATTGATTATGTTTGTCCCTTCCGAAATTGTTGTCTGGTAAGGCAGGAGCTCATTGGATATACCTCGCTGAATCTCTCGTGCAGTCCATAGGAATCTATTTAAAACTATCCTGAATATTTTTGAAACAGTGTCCTCTGTCCTCTGTCATCGAAATATCCGCTCCTTTCTATACAGTAACATCTGATCCATCTAAAGCCTGCTCGCTGTCTGAACTCACCCCAATTTCGGGTATAAATACCCTATAAACGCTGGCCGCAATCACCCAAAGTTCAAAACCATGCCTAGTCTATATCTGTCCGACATTGCACTTTTTCGCACTCTTTTCAACATGTATAAAGTCCGAGAGATTCCAATCTGGCGCCTTTTCCACAAATGCCTAAAAATGCACTTGAATCTCCCCTTTTGTCTCTTTTCCACCCACTCTACTCATACCCTCACTATATTCACAGCGCTCGGAAACCAATAGAAACAGAAAGAGCCCCTCATTGATCCCATTATCAGAGATGCTACTACATATTGGCGATCAATATGTAAGTTAAGATTTTATAGAGATCGAATATACCTGTCAGGGTTCTCGCCATCTCATATTTTACTTACCTTGTCGTCGTACTGTCTAATTAAAAGCCTTGTCCTAGATTCAAAGAAGGTTACATACAACTCGCGTGGCTTTCTTTGTTGCGCATGTCTGATTTGGCGAGTAGTCGGTGCCTATAAATTTTGAATGTGAGGGTTTAGTTGGATATTTCGATATGATGGTTGTCAATATTTTGATTGTAGTTCTGGTAAATGAGATACTCTTGTACATCATTTGGGGTTTTCGTTACCCGGGTCGATTTTGGGACGCGAAGTGAAGCCATAGTTAATAAGTAAAGGATTAGACGAGAGTCCTCTCAGCAAATTATTAGTCCAGTCCTCCGATATCAAGAGCGCATTTCTCTTGAAATAGAATCTCCTCATCTGATGAACAATTTAGCACTCTGCGAGTTTTTAGCTCTCCATTCGAAATTGCAAAAATGCCATTCGTCGCACTTTGGACGAATGGTAGATTAGCGGAGAACCGGTTTGTGCTTTTCACAAAAAAGTTTTTCTTGTCTTGAGTATCTTGAGGCTCTTGCGTCTCTTTGGCCTCCAAATCAACTTCAACACGTGGCCTGATGCTGAATGATAACATATTTCATTTTTTCTTGGGCTGTATCAGTATTTCGACATCATTGAGCTAACCTGACTTCGTGTTTTGTTGAGATGAGATGTAGAATTTTTGAAATCTTATATGGTTGCTATGTGAATGACGGAGTTACGGGATGGCGTATTCACTTATTATATACAGCTTCGTATTGAATGAGCTAATGATGGATTTTGAAAAAAGAAAGAAGAAGAAAAGTCAGCCCCACTTTACAGCTTGTACCTTGGCAAGTATTAGAAAGTAAGCAGTAGTGGCACTGGTAAGCTTTACCTTCTAATACTTCCAAGGTTCCTACACAAACACTTTATCTTTCCCGAAATCCACACCATTTTCAAACACCACTTCTCTTGTATCTTTCGCACCACAGTCCCTAACGTCCTGCCAGGTAGGTAACCTGTCTTAGAAACTTTAAGAATATTTAACTTTAACAAATCTACAAACAGATCAGTTCTTGCGCTCCCAAAGTGCTACACTCAAAGTTTTTCAACTTCAAGAAACTTTGGTATCACCCAGCCTCACACAATACTGGCCATCAACAACTAGTCATGAATCCTCCTCCTGCGATTATTGTTTATAACAACACGGAAGAAGTCGGGGTGCATGAAGAATCATCAGATACTTCCCAACAAAGAGAAGACACCCGGAGTGAGACTTCAACCCCCCATCATTCAGAAAAACATGAGCCGACCTCATCCTCATTCAAAAGATCTCCGAATTCTCCTGTCGGCTTCCTCGACTTGTCACTTGAAATCCGACGCATGATCTATGATGAATACTTTATCTTCACCGAACCGATCTCATTCCAAACTGGACCGTCTCCATCGCTGGCCTTACATCTTGATAAGAACTATGGTCTTCATACCGCACTGCTTCGTGCAAACAAAGAAAGAAATACATAGTGAAGCCACACCATATCTTTACTCTAATCCGGTGTTCAATTTGGTTGGCATCCCCCCTACACAACTACTACCCACTACCGATGCAGCTTTTGCTCATTTCTTAAGACAAATTGGTGTTCCTAACGCAAAGCTTCTTCGTCACCTTATCATCGAATTTCCCGAATTCGATCCTGCCCCTCCAGATTGCTACCGCCCTGGAGAAGTCCCCAAGCCCGTTGAAGATTATGTAAGATTATTGAAGCAAATTCACGAACAGTGTACAGAACTTGCAACACTTAAAATGGCATTACATCAATTACATGATTTTTTTCGGGCATTCTTGGATCCCGATTGGTCTGAGAAATTCTTGATTGCTACAGACTGGCTACACAAGCAATTACAGGGCATGCCGTTCTTGAAAGATATCGTCGTTCATCTTCAAATCATCAACCCGAACCTTAGAGGTTGTTATCAGGGCTGGATAGACAAGTCGCGGGACTATGGATGGAGTTTTAAGGTCACGGATTATGAACTCACGGGAAATAAGGAGGAGGCTCGGAATGAAATTATGGACGCTATTTCGGAACTGGCTCAGATGGGAGGTACCAGGCGCGTAATGCAGCGAGGATATTATGTTAAAAGACAGACCTCCGATGGAGAATCTGAGATTGACTACGAATTGTCATATCGTACGGCTTGTTGCAAGATTGAGGAGGGTCTCCTTCAATCAGCATAGGATAAGCCCACTATCATTCGACAATTTCATTCTTAAGCGCGCAACCAACAACTTCCCTAAGATTTTCACCCACACGCAACAGCCATTGTCATCAGCTTATGCGTTTCTATGATCCGCACCAAAATTCTCATCTGACGGTTGGATAGAAACGAATATGGGGCCTCAGATAGGACTTCTTGAAAAGTCATTAGCTAGTTTCCAAAGTAATCCAGTTCAATCATCGTTCTTATCCATCCATATGACATGGATTTATAATAAATGAAGCAGACCAGTGGAGTGAATTCAATTTTGAACACGTAAATTGATTGCATTGAGCTTAATCTAGAAGAAGAGATGGAGGCATGCAGCGCCAGTGTATGTGCCACAATCTTCCAGCAATATGTTATAATACAACTTTTTTTTTCATGTGTCTCACTACTAAGATGGAACATGTATGATGGACAACTCGTTCGAGGATCCAAACCACGCCAAGCCCCAGATTAACTTACTGGCGTCTTACAGTTCTGTTGGGATTGCTTTGATTGGTTAGTATCTATAGTTGAGACACAGAGTTGGATAGGATAACCTCGATAAGTCTTTCTTCACCCGGGAATTTTTTCGTCCTCACATGGCAGGCTTTGACCCACTAGCCACCGAGTTATCTCACAATGTTACATCTATAAAAGGATGGTCTAATATTATCTATCAAGGATAGAGATTGTATAAGCAGCAATCTCGACAAATATAGCGAGCGGAAGTTTCTGGAAAGAACGCGCTCCGAAATCAGGAATAAGTTTTGACTTGCATCAAGTCAAAGGGATATGGGTCCCAATGGAATAGCCAGGGCTTTTCTATTGTCAATACTACCAATTAATGACAGTTCAACATATAGAGATTCACCATGCAAAGATTGTCAATGTTATATACTATGTTCTGTTGTTGTTACGACGAGCACCCTCTCGTCTTGGTACATTAAACGTCGAATTTTCTGTTAACCATAGGTAATCCAACATCCTCACCTTTGTGGGATTATCACACTTATTAGAAGCTATGGGGATCACTTGCTCTCAGCTCCAACAAAAATTACTATCCCGTGGATTCCTCGTCTGTTCATCGATAGTCTCTCCAAGTCTTATATACCCTTAGTGTTTTGGCTTGATTTCGATTATCCTTCTCAACGGTATATTCACTCAGCTCTACTTCTGATTCTCAGCGCACAACTCCAGAGACCAAACAGGTCAGCTGAAATCGCAAAAACTAGGTGTTCATCTCTCTATAGTAATATTCCAAAACGTTTATAAAGTAAACACCACATAGATCATCACATAATGCATGGCCTCATAAACTTTCGTCAATAGCTAGACTCATGTAGTGAGCTCTCAAGGCCAAATTCGATATCATAACAAAATTGAGTTATTCTACACCACTCCCCAAAAGCACAGAAGCGCCCTTGATTCATGTAGAACAACTACAACATGACATCCATTAACCAAGTATGCGCAGTTGAGCTACCAAGAATATTGACCCATGGAAAGAAAATACGGGAGATTCTCAACGAGAGTATTCGATATAAACTCAACAATCTCGATCGTAATAATCTTGAACATGTAAAGAGGGGTAACAAGTGAATTGAAGGGCCTAGATCCCTATAATTGAGAAAGTGGATACAAAGAGGTTGTTGAGAGTTTGCTTCGCATGTGGAATCTCAAAGATGACGCAATAGTGGTTGAAGCAATATTGAGGGAATGAGAAGGAAGTAGATTGTTATAAGTACTACTTGAAAAGAAGGATTGTAACAATACATAGATCGAGATAATATGGAAGTAATTTGGTATGGGGGATGAGAGATTGTGCAAAGAGCATATTCTGGCTCCTGATATAGAACATCAACATTAATCTGAAAATGAGTCGAGAGTTGGAGAGTCAATGTTGAATACCGAAAGAGAAAACAAGATTATGAACAACAACAACAAATAACAATAGATGGCATAACGCGTACAAGCGACAACAAGACAAGATATTCCAAAACACATATTAAAGGCAAAAAGACAGTCAAATCGAAGATCAAAAACTCCTAAATTCTCATCTAAAGTTCATCCCATCATATGTGGCGATGGCCAAGTATGCATTGTGCATACACATTATATCCTGGCGAGTAGTAGTTCCCAGTCGACTATACAAGCGAAAAGCCGTGATTTCATCCGAAACTCTCATCTACCAGATGCAACAACCACAACCTCCATGAAATTCATTTACAAGCTGAACTCGACCTTCATAACCTCATCAATTCCATCCTTAATAGCACTAGTCTTAACCTCATCCAATTTCTTCAAAGGTGATCTTGGGTATCCACCATATCCATAGTAGCTTTGAATGGCACTCTTGGTGCCAGCAATGGCGGCCTTAGTAAGGACCCAATCACCCTTACTCAAAATCTTTTGCAACTCAAAAGCCTCATCCCTCTTTCCCTCCCTGTACAACTCCCAAATCTTAACGCAGACCTTGGCATAACATTTGCACCACCGGCAATGATACCCGAACCACCGGAAACCAAGGTTTGAGCAGTGAAATCACAAATACCACCGAAAGCCATGTAGCCAGAACCTTCCGAGAAGACAGTCTTGGCATTGGTAGCCAAGGCAACTCTGGTAAGTTTTCCTGTGCTACCACAGGTGAATTTGGTACCGATAATGTTGCGGTGTTTGGCCAGACGGATCAAAAGATCCGAATCCATATCAATACCGGCAACGGCGCCTGGGTAATTGTATAGGATGATAGGTAAAGGTGATGCATCAGCTACTTGAATGAAATAGTTGTAGACAGAATCTTCATCCATGAGACCACGGAAATAAGAAGGGGGTAGTAACAGAACGTATTCTCCACCCGCTGCTTCTGATTCTTTGATGAGCTCGATGGTACCGCGAACGGATCCTTCGGTAGCTCCGACAATGATGGGAACTTGATCAAAGCCCGCGGCATCTAGAGCTTCACGAGTTGCACGTGTGACGGCTTGTTTTTCGGCGCGGGAGAGATGGACAGCCTCACCGTTGGATCCCATGGTTACGAGACCCACGAGACCGGCTTCGGCGAGACGAACGGCATGTTTCTTGATGGTGGGAATGTCGAGTTCTTCAGTCTCAGGGACAAAAAATGTCATAGTTGGAGCGTAAATTCCATCTCTGAGAGGTCTACGTGTAGCGTGACCGTTGGAGCCGTTGGTTGCCGCCATTGTTATGACTTTTTATATGTGTAGATGAAGAGAAAGTGGGGGTCTAGAGTGGGACGTGAGGTGTTGAGAATTCAGATATCGAAGAGAAAAAATATATCTTCAGAGGGTATGTGTAAGGTAGTATGAAGAGAAAAAGAATAAGAGGATGAAAGACTGAAGTAGGAAAGAGTATCTTATGTATATGCTAGCAGCAAAAAATGATGAGCAATCCTCTGAATGACTTGACAAAAATCTATACTAAATTAGTCCGAGGACCGGTGACCTATCTTTTTGTGAATAGTATTAAAAATAAGATTGAGTTGTTTTCTATCAACATGCCGAATCTAGGTGGTCCATGGAGCTCGAGCCTGGAATAGTGTGCCGGACTTCCCTGATAGTTTCTCAATTTATGATCTAAATTTGTGGAAGTGGTGGGGGGACTTTCTAACTTCCCCGTCTAAGATTCTTCCGATTTGCGCGTCAACCATGCATTGACACGTTAATTGGCAAGAAGTTTAAGAAAAAGCGGGTTGAAGTAGAAGGGATTCATAACTTGAGAGATTTCTGCTTCAGGGTTGTACATAGCAATGTTTTTGAATTGGCATCTGGTCGTTTTTCCAGTTGCCATGTATGTATCTTTGTACGTATTATTCTTGTTGATCGTTTCCTGGGTGTCTAGGACGATGATGCACGGCACTTCCCTTGACTAACGATTTACTGTAATAGATTTATGCATGTTAAAATGACAATCAATATGATGTGATCAATGCCGTCTGAGCCATTCAGAAGTGTTCCAATTGATGTAGTGATTGAGCGTTATTCGAAACATGTGGACTAAAATTGACAATTCAACATTCTGAGTATCGTTTGATGCTGAAAACTATTTTTTCCACCAATAAAATTTCTGATGATGCCGAGGGCGTGGGGTAGAAATGTGGCCAAATTGAAATTAGTTTACGCTACCAAAAAGGGATGCGGGGCAAACTTGGGAGTGGGAGAGATGTTTCTGGGTATAGAATGGGGAAAAAACCTCATGATCAAAAAGTTATTGTGGATTGTCTTAAGATGATATACAATCTAGCTAGGCGTTGAGGCTCAATCATGCAATATGATCCGTCTAATTTCAAGACTAGAGAAAAGATGCAGAGACGTTTACAAATAGGAATGGGAGCACAAGATTGCTGTACCTATGAAATCAAGATCGCGGGGTTAAAAGTCTTGAATGATTGGAGAATGGTTATATGATGATGTTCCTAGTCGGGATGAAAGCCCTCGACTCGAGGAATTGAGAGATCGTGGTAGTTGTTCCTGAAATGTAACACAATAATGCAGAAATGCTTATTTACGATTGAATCCAAGACTATAGAAGAGTTACACTCTAAGAAAGTGTCGACTTTCCTTCCATGTAGAGTCTCATCCAGGATTCTTCTAGATATCCGAGCCAACCCTTCATCCCGCAATTTTTCTCGCTTTTTAGCCCCGGATAATTAAGCAGCGAGCAACTCCGATATTGACCCCTCAAATTCTCCGCCAAAACTCGTGACCCAACAATTTGTTCCACAGTGATTCTTTCCTTTATGGTTAAGCAAATTAATGCTTGGAAGCTAAGGGTAATTATACCACCACTTTCACTATGAAGTCGACATCATCCCCCACTATCTTAAGCTCTCCATTCACTTGCATCTCAATTGACTTTGGCTAAATCTTTACTTGTTCTTCATCTTTTCAGAAATTTCAAATACACTTCACACAAACAGGAATCTTAACACTATCATCATGGCTTCAGATTTGAAACCCCTCAATGTCCTCATGGTGGGAACTGGTGAATATACCACCGGTTTCGTAGGAGGTGGGGCTTCAGGATCAGACAAGAAAGTGGGAGTTGTAGGACTTTCATTATTTGATCTGCGAAGACGTGGGAAGGTTGATAAATTGTCTATGGTTGGCACATCTGGTGGAAAATTCCCAGCTATCCGTTTGTCTCCCACCTCCATCTAAATGTGCATCTTACTCCCCGCATCACCCACTGACAGAATTGACCAGGCGAACATCTTAACAAGAACATTTCCCAAGTTTACAACAATCTCGACACATCCTTCGATTCCTTCCCAGCAAATGATAAAACAGATCCAGCAGCCTACAAAACTGCCATCGATGCGCTTTCCCCAGGTGATGCCATCACAATCTTTACTCCCGATACAACCCACTACCCCATCGCCCTCTACGCCATCGAACGTAAAATCCACGTTTTGATCACCAAGCCCGCAGTCAAAATTCTCTCTCAGCATCTCGAGCTTCTCGAAGCTGCCAAAAAGAATGGTGTCTTTGTTTACATCGAGCACCACAAACGATTTGATCCCGCATACTCCGATGCTAGACACAAGAGCTTGGGATTGGGTGATTTCAATTACTTTTACAGTTATATGAGTCAACCCAAATCACAATTGGAGACTTTCAAGGCTTGGGCTGGTGTGGATTCAGATATTAGTTATTACCTGAATTCGCATCACATCGATATTTGCGAGTCAATGGTTTCACAGCAAGGATTCTTGCCAGTCAAGGTCTCAGCTAGTGCTAGTAAGGGAACAGCCGTTGGATTAGGTTGTGATCCAATTACAGAGGATACTATTTCTTTACTTGTGCACTGGGTCAAGAAGGATGATCCAAACAAGAGAGCCACCGGTGTGTATACTGCTTCCTGGACTGCACCACAAAAAGCTGGTGTTCACTCAAATCAATATTTCCACTACATGGCCAGTGGAGGTGAAATCCGCATTGATCAAGCCAAGAGAGGATACGATGTCGCAGATGACAAAGTCGGTCAATTGATGTGGTATAACCCATTCTACATGCGTTACGCACCAGACGAGGAGGGCAACTTCGCTGGACAGACAGGATATGGATATGTCAGTTTCGAGAAGTTTGTCGATGGATGCAGATTAGTCAATAGAGACGGTGTTTCTGCGGTCAAGGTCTTGGATGATAGAGGATTACCCACATTGGGCAATACTGTCGGCACAACCGCTATCTTGGAAGCTGGAAGAAGAGCTTTAGATGAGAACAGAGAGGTGGAAATTAAAGTCGAGAATGGCGTTTGGTCTCTTGTTTAAGGAAAAGGAGCGACGGTTAATACTTTGGTGTTTAATGAACATCACTGCAAGGTGCAGTTGACATGAAATAATTATGATTACTTTGATGATTTCTTCTACTAAATATGCTGCCATCTGTTTCGCTATGGCTCTCTATTGTGCTTTGCTCTCATTAGAGTTGCCGAAATCATTCCTCTTTGAAGACATCTGATGGGATTCAAAGCCTCAAATATCTGATCGCATGTGGGCAGAGCTAAAACCTCCAATAAAAAAATGACACATAACGAATGGAACGTGTGATAGCCCCTTCATTCTCCTACACAATTAATTGCCATGATCCCGAAAAAAGCTTTCTCAAATAGCTCGTATCAACTCCTTTTCAAATGGCGTTAGTACACCACTCATAAAAGCTCCTCAACAAATTAGCCGCTCGATAATTCAACAGATATGATTACAGCAACAGCTTGCTACTTTTGCTCTTTATTCGAAGAAGTAGAAAGTTCTAAGGTGCCGATTCATTGATGCACTTCCCTGCGAGAGTTCTTCCATGGGTCTCGAAGATGTATACTCATCACTGGACTGGTTATTTGAAATATTCCTCCGGCTTTTCACTTCAGAAGTCCGTCTCTTTTCATACCAGTAATTTTGGTGCGCAACTAATGCATGTAGTTCCCTCCGGCTCGTCCGATGATTGTTCGGAAGAGATTCTCCTTGTGTGGTAAAAAGGTCTTTTGATACTTCGGTCTATGAAGTGTTATGATTCTCAATTAAATCCTTGTCTTATTCAAAAGGGCATCGCAGCTTCCTCGCAAACTTAATAAGCAGGCACTAACATTGCGCATGTTGCAGAGCGAGAAGGCTGCGGCAAGAGCCAGCCCTCAATATTTACTCGTACAGGCTTGCCTAAGATTCCCATATTTATTTACTCTTACATGTCGCAACTTCGTCTTTGGAGTATCTTGGAGAGCATTTCTTTACATTCAAACCAAGATTTAAGACAAGGACGGCTACCAATTGTTATTGAATATCAAACTCCTCAGTCCGCACTCACGAAACTGAGCCTCATTTATCTCTAGGATTGGTACTGCAGATAACATTGATATCAGGTGGAGGACCGGGCAATCACATTGTACGTTTCCCTCGTTCCTCGCATGTCAGAAAAATCTCTTCAATCCCTGATCCATGAATCTTTACGCTTTATTTTACGCTGAGTCGTGGATTTAGAGCACACACTGACTCAACACTCAAAAGAACATGGCGCGCGCATCAACAATTGCTGTTACTGGCTTCCCTCTATTCATGAACCTTTACAGAGAGCTGCGGATGAAGATATGGCATGATACATTGCCAGATGCTATCAAACCAGCTTTATTCCAGTACAAACACGGATGTTGGCACCTTCTTCATCTTACGAAATACGACCCATGTGGTGAGCATGACCCGCTGGATGACACGAAGAACATGCGTTTAGAGTTCCGCCACAGTATGTTAGGCCATGTACAAATGGAGACGCGCTTAGTATCGGTTAATCACGAGGCTCGTGAAATTGCTGTGGAATGGGCTCATAAAAAAGGGTTTGTTGTTCAGAAAATTGAAGGATATCCCATATTTTCATGTCCTTTCAATCCGGGGCGTGATATACTATACATTCCACCTAATAAAGAGTTTAAGTTTTGGACAGAGACAGATGATATACTTGACAAGGCACCACGGGTCAATCGGAACACCTTGCGAAGAACGTTAGTTCAGAATTTCGCTATAATGGAGTCTACAATTGAGCACGATGACCCTCCAAACCTATGTAGAATTTTCAAGGGTTTCTTACCCGTAAGAATGTTGGTCATTCTCATCGAGACGAAACTAGGAACAGAATTTGCTGATAGGTATTTAAATCTACAAAAGCGATGGGAAATCAGAACAGGCGGGGCCTGGGTCTGGGACAACCAAAAAAATTATGGGACAAGCATGGTAGAGAGTTTCGTGGCAAATTGGGACTTTACAGGCGTGTAGACGGAGTGAGTGAGGAATTGCAAGACGAGCTTACATGCGATGATGGCGCCAACTTCAAAATTCAAGTTGCTGCAGCCATTCCATTTAGACATAGAAGAAGTTCTTATTAAAAACCTGTACAAATACTTGATGGATTCTGCGCTCTAGCAACACGCCTTAGTAGATAATATTCTGTATGTGGTGTTCTTGAGAGTTTGTCTCCCCGTTTTTAAGTATGATGTTACGTCCTAGACTTATATCTCAGTCTAGTGGAGTCTTTATAAATGACTGTTGTTGTTGCCTCATCTTCTTCTTTAGTATTCTGGTGATATTCAACGAACTGTACTGAGAAATCCAGCATCCCAACAGATGTGGAAAGACGGGATATTATATTCTGAGTAACTGAAATGAAGGAATCGTGAAGAAAGTGCCTGTATGAATTGACTTGGTGGTGGAACTAACTTTTTGTGAATTGTTTCTGAAGTTGTCGAGGAACATAGGCAAGTCTTTCGACTGAGGCTTAAAGTGTCAGCATGAAAATATCAATGGCTTTACACTCGTCGTAGCAGTGTACAGATTTGCATGGGCTGAATCTATACTCTGCTTTGTTGTTGGAGTGTTGCTCTATCAGCTGAAAATCTTCAGCTCGATAGTTGTAAGATGCCATTTACATCTAATTTTTGGAACGCTCTCTTGTCATTTCAGAAGCAACTTATGTTGGCAGACGACGCAGGCTTCGGGTCGATGGATTTTGCAAAGAATCAGGACTCCATGAGGCCTGGTGAGGAAGTTGCTTTGACGTCTGAGATATACAAAAGAGCTTGGAAAGTTGTTGCATGGCTTTCACAAGGTCAATAACACCAGGTTCGGGACTAATTTGTAGACTTTGGAGGCGAAACTAGCCCAGTAGGGGATGATCGATTTCCTTTTTAAACCTAATTTTACAAGTTTTGTAAAATTGGTGCAACTTCAAATTAATGCTCGCAAGCACCCAGTTTCGTCGGTTAAAGAGATTGAATGGGGTTTCATGCCATTATAGAATTTCACACTGGTAAAAGATGTGACTTGCGCAGGAAGTGAAGCTGAGTTATATGAGGACTATTACTCTTGGAAATGAGTTCATGAAGTGGCAAGACTGGTGAGATGGAATAGAAAATGCAACCAAGGTCGATGCCCAGGGATAAATTGAGGGAATAACCAAACGAGATCGCAAAATAATGGACGGTAAAACTGCTGCATGAATGTTCAAGCGATGGACCTCACAGAAAAATATGTTCAACTAACAGTTTATGGCTTTCTTGGACTCATGACCAAATAACTCTCCCATCGTATACTAACTGCACATATCTCAGCACCTGCGGAGGAATTTACATCTTTCGCCTAAGCTTTCGTACATGAAGACAAGAACGTTGAGATTATTATGGATGCGGGTATCATAGCATCGCATCTATCTACTTCATGGGCTCGTAACTGGATGAGAACTCGCATTTTGAATCAGAACTTTTACTGTCGTCACAATCCATGTCCAGTGCCCGATGCGCAGTCTTGAATCTTCGAGAAGAAGCTCACGTTTATTGATCTCATCTTCGACTCCATCGACGAGGTCAGCGATATTTGGATTCCGACTGGAGGACAATCAACGCTGTTCGTGAGCAGCGACTGATCGCAACGGAGATGGGGTTATTTTGGATAGGGTCCCAGTTCAATTTGTGACAGGGTAATCTCATCTGCAGAGTGCAAGATATTTTTGCTCCAAGGTTACTTGATAAGTGTGCTTATCAAATACTCACGGCCAGTCGTAATAAGACTACCTCGAGATGAATATCAGCCCATCACTTTATATTGAGATCTTAGAGCTTTCCATTTTTAGGAATATGATGCTGAGAAGCAAATAGCACTCAAAATACAAGAAAATATTTCGATTATGTCCTAATGATTTATCTACTACAAAGCAAAACATTCAACCTGGGGTATTAAGTGTATCTATCACAAACAGTACTTCATCCACGTCCCGATAACTATCTTCACCTGAAAAACAAATGAAATAAAAGGTCGTCAAGCGGACTCATTTCTTCTCAACACTCTTCTTGGCTTTCTTGCTTTTGGGCGAGCAAGAGGAAAGAATGGAATGTAACCAAGTCTTGTAAGTGAATCGACTGCGGAGGGTAGTGGACGAAGATGTTGATGACCGAGAGGCACCAGGAAGGACTTTCTCGATGATTCTATGGAGAGAGAAGAGTAAGGTTAGTCGCGAGTTCACAAGTATCTGAGCTAGAAGACCATATAGTGTAGGATCATCTTGTATTTCTATCTTTCTTGCTTTTGTACATTCCAATTTCTCATCCAAATCATTCACCCAATCCTCTATCAACAGTAAGAAAAGTCAAAGCGCTCCACTTACTGCGCCAAGAGAACAGCCCTATAGTAAACTTGTCCTTTGTCCAATTTGTCCATTGCCTCCGCGATACCTGACTCCGTCATAGGGAAAGTTTGAACGATGGGTTTGATTTCATGGAATGCAGCGAAGTCCAACATCTGCTTGTGGGCACTTCTGTTTGCAACAAGGTTTCCTTGAATGTTGATACCAGCGACAAGGAATGGCATGTATGGGATCTCGAGGTTCTGGAAAGAAACTGTCAAGGGGTAGATGGTGGAGCGGGGTGCCATGATTGGGAGGATCAATTCCCAGTTTGGTTGAGCGGCAGTGGTAACGAGGAGACGGTTAATGGGTTTAGAAACCTTGAGTTCCTTAACATCCTTGGTAGCGATAAATTCGTGTGCACCGAGCTTGGTGGCTTCAGCCTTCTTCTTGTCCGAGCTACTCAACACAACAACTCTGCAACCCATCTTGGCAGCAAATTGAATAGCCAAATGTCCCAATCCACCAACTCCCATCACAGCAACAACATCAGTACTCTTGATACCCTGGAGGGCAGAGAATGTGGTAGCACCTCCACATTGTAAAGGAGCGGCATATTCGTCAGGGATGGAGGCTGGTGTGGGGAAAAGGAAGGCCTCGCGCCAGATAGCGTGGGAAGCAAATGATCCTTGATCAAGGTTGGCATATCCGTAAAGAGCACGTTCTGGACAGAAAACTTCGTTTCCAGTAAGACACTCATTGCAGTGGCCACAAGAATCGTGCTCGTAACCCCATCCTACACGGTCTCCCTTCTTGAGATATTTGGCATCAGGGCCAACAGATTCAACGATACCAACACCTTCGTGGCCAAGGACCATGTCGGCACCTTTCTAGGTGGGGGTTAGCTATAGAACAAATGACAAAGGGTGGCAATGGAGTATGAACTAACGTAGTGAAGATCTGTTCCGCAAACACCGGAAGCGGTAATTTTTACCAAAACGCTGTCCCCTTTGAGCTCTTCTGGCTTAGTGGTGGTGCTCTTGATGGGGGTACCATCTGCTCTGCCCTTGAAAACTGTGAAGGTAGGCATGTTGATTGTATTTTGGGAAGAAGTAGATGATTTGAGGATGGACTTGAAAAGTTGGAATTTCAAGTGAAGTTATAGATGTTTTTGAATGTCTTGAGAAGCTGGAGGGAAGAGTAGAAGAGGAAGTTGATTTGATATGGGATAAAATATGTTTACCATGGCTTTTAACTCACATTATATAATCTTTGAACTCAGGGCCGCTCCTCCATGTTTGGGTCCAGGCACTATCCGGCCCATGGTTCCATGCGTTGGTATTGATTAGTGACAATGACTATCAGCGAAGTGTACAAGCGCATGTACTCACGGGATTGTTCGTAATCAAACTTACCGATTCGCATCCGACGGAGATCCCTGATGATTACCTGATCTTGAAGGAGAATCCGGAAGACAAATTATGGGCATTCACTGCTTTATGTCCGAGTGGGACCCACGTTCTTTAGGCTTATGACTAAACGCGAAACAAAATTTACTAGGGTCTAATCTCCGGATGCCCCATTAGGGCTGAACCATGTAAGCAATGTTGGTGACCAACTGTTGGACGATAAGATAATTTAACGGATCATTGGTTATTATCCATCAACGTTTGGATAATACAAAGTTAATCTGCAACTCCATATCTGGAGTCTCGGAGTTAAATTATAGAATTCTCGATTATGCTACCCCACGATTTTCGTGTCTTAACATGAGCCAATCAGACTACATGCTCATGCGCCGAAGGCTTTTCGGCAACCTTCCCGGCCTCAAGCCAAGGATCGAACATCGCTGGCTTAACACTCAAAGTCGATCATGCGTATCTATAAATCGCTGTGCTTGCGAGCTACGAAAATGACAGTTCCCCATGATTGGCTCTAGCTTTATGATTGAAGATGGCCATGGAGTAATTTCTTTGTCATAATTCAGCTGTATGTTACAATAAACAAGTACATGATATCCAAGTGGTTAAAGCATTAATTCTATACGAATAATTATTGCTGATACAAGAGTAACTACCGAAGGATAATCTCGCTACTCCACAATATTGTTTCCCAATACAGCCACCACCCACATGCGTTTAACATGATGTGCATATTGCCATACCATTGCCAACCCGAGATTGAATTTGAGAAAACTATAGTAATAGAATGGAAAGAAACATAAAGAAAAGAACGCCTGAAATCCATGCCTCTTGTTTATCATCATCATCATTACTATTCCGGAAATATCGTCCCCATATTCGCCCATAACATCTCAAAGTCTGTATATGAATCGGCTGGAAATGTCATATCAATGGATTGAGCCAAGATATCTTGTATCTCTGCATTCGTCTCATTATCGAAAGACAACGAATCTACACCTTGCATTCCAGTGAAGCTATCATCGAGAAGACTCTCATATCCCGAGTCTCCTGCACTCATGACAGATTGTACTTCATCGGGCTTGATCATGACTTTCGACTGTTGCACCATCATTTGCTTCTCATAAGTCTGCGCAAGGCGGATATCGACTTTAGCACTGAGCTCAGTCATGACATTAGCAGCGCTGGCAGCTTGAGCGAAATTGTTCCCAAAGTTATCGAAAACAGCGATGGCGAGGTCGAGAGCACCTCTTGCTGCTCGAGTCTGTGTGCCTTGAGGATATGCGAAGATATAACCGACGAGAGTCATTGCACAGTTCCACTGCCACTGGAAGGATTCCTGCCAACCTGCTAGGATCGATGTCGACAAGATTACATGATGCATAATGTGCGTCAACTGCATAGCATGGCCGACACATTTGAGTGCGATTTGTTCTGAGAGAGCACTGGGTGTGCTTGCTGGATTGAAGATGATGAACGGCCGGCAGAGGTTGGTGCTGAGATTGTGGTACATAAGTTCCAAGAGGAGTCGTTGTCGTTGAAGCCACAGTGGTGCGAATGGCTCGATGTTAATATGTGATAGATCTGTGGAGAAGGGGGACCCGCCATTGAGACGATCAGTTTTGAGTGCCATGGGTACACCCCTGAGCCATTCATCCATTCGCTCTAAGTGTGGTTCCAGCATATCTGCATAAGTTGCAAGAGTTTGTAAGTCATCCCAAATGGTTCCTCTTACGTTGACTGTATTAGGGACTGGGGTATCGTAAAATGCAGAGTAGGCCGATCGAGCAACAAGCAACAGTTTCGTATTGTGAAGATTCCAAGTCAACCAGGTAACATTATCACCCAGAGGTGCAAAGCTTTGTCCTGCAGCAATGGCAACATCGCGGTCGTCTGTAGGAAGGGTGCATGTAGTATTACACTCATGAACCAAAAATGGACGTCCGAGTTTCATACTCATTTTACTCTCCAGAACGTAGAGCGTCCACCACATGCGTTTCCGCAGTTCTCTTTCCTTTCTTGGCATTTCTTGGGGAGGCTCGACATGTAGACCAAGCATATAAGCTGTTCGTACAGCAGCACTGCAAGCGCTGTCTGCCATATTTTGAAATGATCCACAACAGAGGTATATGGAACAGAGAATATGACATTGAAGAGTAGCTATTGTGGGTGCTTCTAGATCGGCTGCCAGTAGAGATTGACAACGTCGGTAATGCCATCTGCCAGCGATTGTTGCGTCATTGACGTTTACATTAGCTCTCGAGCTGGGGTTATGTGCGCGTGTTACATTGGGCAGAAAAGACATGCCGTACTGCATACACATTGCGAGGATAATATCGACAAGCGCGGAAGGTTTTCTCTCTTTGTCAGAATTCATCCATAACGACTGATAATGTTCTTTGAATTCTTGTTCATCGATAATGGGATTTGAGGTATAGTATGATTGCCAAAAGAGCCCAAGAAAGTACTCTTCTTGTGTTGGTGAAAGATAGTCACCAACGTTGAGGGGGTCTTCTATCGGGACCATCATCCCATTTTTGTTGTCTGATGTGTCTGCTGTAGTCGGTCCATCGAGTACCTTACTCGCCGAGTTCGGTAACATGGCATGAGCAGAATGTTTTTGGTGTAGTGAAGCGGTCAAGAAAGTATTGAGGCGCCCGATGAAATAGTACAGTGATGCTGAACCATACCACGTCTTTTGTGGGGAACGCGCGGTGCTAATGTGAATGCCTTCCCATTCTCTCTTGATTGAGTTTGCGTCAAATTCAAGGCCGCTCATACCACCCAAGCCACTCATACCGCTTAATCCAGTGTCGTGTCCCGATCGGGAACTTCCAATACTATTCGGCGGCGAAGGAAGTCCATGTGGAGGAAGCATTTGCATGTTCTGTTTGCTATCGCTTGAGCGCTCTTTATCGAGTTCCTTTTCAAGTTCTTGCACTTTTTGCTTAAGGCGTTCAATCTCACGATATGCATGTGGAAGGGTTGCCAACTTCATAGCACCGCTATTGCTGCAGTTGCCGCCTCGAGTTTTGCAGTTGTTACACGGATGGTCATTATCGCATTTGATCCGGTGAACTCGACACCAATCGCACGCTTTGGCCACTTGACTTCGTTTTTGACGTGGACGGGGCCGTGGTGGAGGTTCTGGGGATGCAGAAGTACTAGGCGTAGTAGAAGGCATGCTCACGAAAGTGGTGAACATTTTGGGAGTAATGTGACGGGTATCAAGTGTAGAGACGGAGAGGAGATGCGCTGGAGAGATGACGGTGGCTAGATGGATGTATATGCGACACAGCAGCAACTGAGATTTGATAGCAGATTGCTACAAAACCTAGCCGAAGGCTATTGCTCGTGATCAACGGTCAATTAGTACCTCCTAAGGTCAATTTTAGGAAAGTTGAAAGTCTCAAGATATGAGCATAGAGGATACCAATCCTGTATGTACAGAATATGGAGTTTGTATGATTTGCGGTGTCAAAAGTGCGAGCAGATCTCTGGTATTCTTTATTTGTGCACGGGCGGCACAATTAATGTGTTTTGGGTGCCAAGGGGTCTACCCCAACCAGCCCCACCTGAAGGGACCCGGGAAGATAGATGGCTAGAATGCCACAAAACAACATACGGCTTTTACGGCTTTGTACTATTCGATTTTCCCGTGGATGATGCCTAGTGTCAATACCAGAAAGGTCTAGAGATGAAGTATCTAGCGAACTAAGATGTATTGCTTTTAGACATGATGTCAAACGCTTGGGTAGGGCTTAACCAATGATTCATCAGAATGCTAATGCTCATAGATAAATCGACATCTATCGGAATTACCGTCGATATCATACCAATCTACATCATGCATATGATACATTACAAATTTCTAATCGACTTGTCTGAAAAGAGTTACCAAGCTTTGACTACTTAGGTACCGGTGCAACTGATTGAGGCGGAGATAGCGTTTTGGGCTTCGGAGAAGAGCCTATCGTGCCTATGAGCCCCATAAAGGCTGCACTAAAACCCATGTTGATCTGTCAAAATGCATCGTAAATAGCACCGGAAAACGCTTGATTATTATCAGCCCTTTCTTTCATCATTCCACCCCACCTACTGAAAACTGCCTGCGGAGTACATAATCTTATTTCCAAAAAGGAACTCTCTCAGCACGACCTATCAACTTCAAAAAGCTAATCCACAGCACTATTATCATGGATAGGACGTTATAATCGATAGGAATACCCACTGCGAGTGTACGTACTTTCATCACACTACCTAATTTAGCTACGAGGTCATTTAATACTACAATCTCACTCAAAACAACAATGTCACCAATTACTGCAAGTAATTGAGTTCTCACACATTCAGATTGCACTCGGGTCCTCGCCACGTGCAAGGCTTTCGTTGATAACACCAATCAAAGGCGAACCGAGAAGTTAGTACGGCCACAAAATTACTGGCTGGAACTTCAAATTGTACGTACTCGGGTCCGAAGCCGTGGAATCCGAACCACGGCAGAGAGCCGACTCAAGTTCTCTTCATGACAATGTCTTGAATACATGGCCCGGCTTTCTTATATCGGATGAATAAGCCGAGAGATTTAAATAAGCTTACTTGGTTGCCAAAGAACAGGATTTGCCGAATCCATATGTCTTCTCGCCATTTCTGTATTCCGTCGTTGCGAAAGCGAAAACAGTGGGAATTCTGTTTCAGTTGCGAAGACATAGGATTATGGCAAAGTACCCTTGATGAGCATTATTTGAGCTTCATCAGAATGTTACCGTACGGAGTATGGTAGTAGCCGGTTCACTCGGCATTGTAATCGGTGTTTCTTGGTAAGCATGGCATTTACGATTATCAGCGCAAGGTACAAATCCTTCGTAACAAAAGGGCTTACCGTCATTGGTCTTACCATCTAAACACCTTCATCTCAGCGTTTCACTTCATGATAGGGCGTTGATTGAAAGAAGTATTATTTGTAGATATACAATGTGCCTAAGGCACGGATCCGATTAAATTATTATCTTATGCAACGGCGTGTTTCTTCAGCGGGGGGAACCTTATTGATATTCCCGCGCGTATGGGTGTGATGTAATCCCGCCTATTTTTTCAGGGTCTTGCAGATATGCAGCGGGCCCGAGTCCATATATGTGGTGTATCCTGTGGTTTTCCAGAACCTAGTAGACCCTGAGTTTTGCATGGTCTCGGGGAACCAGGCAACAACATCAGCATCTATAGCTTAAACATGAAGAAAGGCTCACGTGAGGCTGAGTGAGCCAAGAAGCTTAGGAACTTGGGACCAAACACTCGGATTCACTTCACAAGACTGCTTGCAGTTACTGGAACAGTTTTCAATCACGGTACCTGGCTGTTTGCTCTAGCTCTTCAAAATGATGCAGTGATCATATATCAAAATGTTGTAGAACAGAAGGTACACATTCGTCGGTCTTTGCCCGGACCGGATTCAAGTTCGGGTGCTTATGTGATGAAATCAAAGCCGTGATATCGCCTTGAGACATTCATCAGTATTGGCAGCCCTAGCTCTTCTATAGCTTATCTTCCTCTGCTGATCATGGTTCGAGGATACGAGCTAACGCGGGACTAGGCTCCCGCTGCACGTTCATTGCATGTAAGCAGGGTTACCACATGTCAACAACGCGAAAACGCCAGCAGTTCGGTTCCCAAAATATCGACATTCGTTAATCCTACCTCAGAAACGAGCTGAACAAAGCTTAACCTCGCTGTCTCTGCGCCGTACGCGATATTACGGCAAGCCAGGGTTCTTTCTTCAACACCCTCGACTTCATGGTATGGAATATGATTCGATGCGGGCTATGAAGTGAGACTATACGATAGTAAACATCATGGGTGATAGGAACGAGGGCGAAAAGGGTCTGAGAAGTGGTCTAAGCATCAACTTGAACGTCTATATAAACTGCTCAAAGTCTCGACGTTAAGCTCAATCCTCATCACCATCATCTTCTTCCTTCCTCAGCTTCATTCATTGCAGAAGAATCTCTTCCGATTGCCATCATCACTTCACTTGAAGATCACTTCCTTCCTCGCACCTTTGCATACTATCCTCCTTATTAGCAGATATGTTTAGCAAAGACTTTACAGCAGTCGGGCTGGCAGCTCTCTCTTTGGTCTCTCAATCGCAAGCAGGACCTACCTTGGGTACTTCTCATCTCAAAGCAAGAGCTCTCTTAGGTAACTCTTTTGGTGTTCCTGGACGCAATGCCACTTACGACTACGTTGTAGTTGGTGGTGGCAATGCCGGTCTAACTATCGCCATGAGATTGGCTGAAGCTGAGGCTGGCAGCGTTGCTGTCATTGAAGCTGGAACTTTCTATGAGATTAGCAATGGAAACATCTCTCAACTTCCTGCCACTGATGGTGTATTCGCTGGAAAGGGTGCTACCGATTGGCAACCTCAGATCGATTGGGGTTATCAGACTACCGCGCAATCTGTAAGTTCTAGGACTATGATTTGAATTGGAAATCACTTACTGACATTCTCAACAGGGAGCATTCAACACTTCTCTTCACTATGCTCGTGGTAAGACTTTGGGAGGTTGTTCTGCCAGAAACTTCATGGTCTATCAACGTGCAACTGTTGGATCAATGCAGAGGTGGGCCGACGAGGTTGGCGATGATTCCTATGAATGGGATAACTTTCTTCCTTTCTACCAGAAGTCTGTCAACTTCACTGCTCCCGACATGAGCCTTCGATCGACCAACTCCACTCCAGAGTTCGTTGCTGCTGATGCTGCAGTATTCCCAGCTACCGGTCCACTTTCAGTCACTTGGTCCCACTATGCCCAAGCTTTCGGAACCTGGGCCATCGAAGGTCTTGCTCAAATCGGTGTACCGGTGATTCCTGGATTTTTGGGTGGAACCTTGATTGGAGCTTCATACCCTACATTCACCATTGATGCTGAAAAGATGACACGTGATTCTTCCGAAACTTCTTTCCTCAGGGTCGGTATGAAATCACCTGACCTCAAGGTTTACACTCTGTCCATGGCAAAGAAAATCCTCTTCGACGATAGCAAGAAAGCAACCGGTGTTCTTGTCGAGACTGGTGGCTACCCATTTACTTTGACTGCCAACAAGGAGGTCATCTTGTCTGCTGGTGTTTTCGGATCTCCACAGCTTCTTATGGCTTCTGGTGTTGGACCCGCAGAAGAATTGAGTGCCATCGGTATTGATGTCATTGCCGACCGTCCAGGTGTCGGAAAAGGAATGCAAGATCATCTGTTCACTGGTATCGGATACCGTGTCAATGCTCCTACTATTTCAAGACTTGTGAACGATCCTGAGTATGCTGCTGAGCAACTTGAGATGTACGAGAGCACCCCAGCTGCCGGCATGTACACTAGCCCCGATACTGATGTTCTTGGATGGGAGAAGATCCCCGAAAAGTACAGAAGCAAATGGAGCAATGAGACTCAGAAAGCTTTGGCTGAATACCCTGCTGATTGGCCTGAGGTTGAGTACATTGCCATCTCTTCTTTCCTAGGCAACCAGGTCATCGAGGGAACTGATCCAAATGATGGATTCAACTATGCCACATTAGCAATTGCTCTCGTCGCTCCTCGATCCCGCGGATCTCTTACCATCACCTCCGCCGATACCAATGTTGCTCCTTTGATCGACCCAGGTTTCTTGACCGAACAATCTGACGTCGACATCATGGTTGCTTCAGTCAAACGTGTCCGTGAATTCTACGCCACCGATGCCCTTCAAAGCTTCGTCATTGGTGACGAGTACTTCCCCGGATCTAACATCTCGACCGACGCTCAAATCGAAGACTTTGTCCGAACCAGTTTCAACACTATTTGGCACGCAACATCGACCTGTGCCATGGGTCTTGTTAACAATACCAACACTGTTGTTGATAACCAGGCCAGAGTTCTTGGTGTATCTGGCGTCCGTGTCGTTGACGCTGCCGCTTTCCCACATCTTCCTCCTGGACATCCTATGTCCACAGTTTGTAAGTCTTATCCTTCCTATAAAAATTAGCAATTGAACAGTAACTAACACTCCATTCAGATGCTTTCGCTGAGAAGATCGCTTGCGACATTATTGGTTGTTAAGCAGTTCGCCTCAAAGCGCCACCATCCGAAATCATCTCTAACTATTACTCCTCACTTTGATTCAACTTCTCTTTATTATGTCGTCGATAGATCCTTTTTAGAAGCATCATGGCTAAATCACTTATCTCTTCTTTTCTTTTGACCTCCCGCCAACTGCGGCGGAATATTTTGATGCACCACTTGAGTTCCAAGATATTCCGCACACCAAAGCACGCAGAGTACTCGAACACTATCGATCTTTACGCGCAGACCTTGTTAGCTGGATGCCACTGTACAACAATTGCTCGCATCCTCATTCTGAGGGGTAGCTTGAGCATCGTTGGGTTTTTTCCTTTTTGATGTGATATTTGGGCGGCGGATTTCTTTCATATGTACCGTACAGAGGAAACAGATGTACTATACAGTCATAGATATATAGTGGTAACCATGTTTTCATATAGCAACTCACACACTTCCCATGTGCTTTGCAGATCGTGACCGAGTTTCATCGATTATGGTGACACTGCAGAATTAGCCAAGAAAGACCAGGGGATTGACCTAATAGCATCGCGATAATCTACGGACTTTAATACTGAGCAAACGCAGGTTTTGGTCATGATTTTGCTTTTTGATTTATTTCGTACCATCACCACCAATCATTGGCCTTCGCATGGAAAAATAACTATTGGATAGTATTTGCTAATCCTTGAAACATTTGTAAAATTTTGAAGCGTGTGGAAACCAACCAACACCATTTATCCATGCAGATATCAGTTTTATCATTGCAAATCTTATTCTGTTGGTTGAAGTTGGTGTTTGATGATGTTACCGAACATCATTCATCAACGTTCAAATTATTATGGACTTTCAAATTCTTCTAATTGCTTAACCAGCAACTTCACCTTAAGTTCTAGTATCAATATCTAACTTCAAAATCATGAGCTTTGACTATGAAGATTTTGACCAACTTTCGTCCAAATTCTCAATCCTCATTACTCGTGAAGATTCTTTTCGGGTACGGGTTCTTTGCCGACTAACGTCAGGGGTGTCTCGGCTAAATAGAGGATGCCTTCGGATAACACAACTTCACCGAAAATCATTCATTACCGAGCTCTCCCGAAACCTTCTCCTTCCCCACCTCTTCAATTACCTGCAGATCTTCCACTCTACCCGCAGTTCCCATTCCTTCCCGCTCAGCCCCAAAGCGCATGCCCCGAGTCAGAACTAGGGATGCAATACATTTACAGCATTGTTTGCTTCAAAACTCGTAAATTATCCAACCATTTATTGATGGCGAGCAAAATGTCTCATGTACTGTTAATCATGTTCCACGCAGGTCCTCTCACAGCTAGTTCAGAATTATGCGGTAGGCTGAGAATAAGTCATGTGATGTAGTTCTAGCCCCCAAATTCAAGCAATAAGTATGTTATTGCTAAGGAAACTAGGATCGCCAAGCAAAGCTGTAAAAGCTTGGTGATAGGTAAGTGGAACAGATCATGTTTATATATCGATTCATGCAAAGGCTGTGTAACGGGACCCGAATAGATGAACCAACGGTGAAGTAAGTTGGGCGGTTCAGCCGACACGGCATAATTCATTGTATAACCAAGCCGATCACGTGCACCAGTTATGGAGTTCATGATCAAGATTAATTTTCAAGGTCACATGTGTGTGTGATTGTGTGATTGCACCAGCCACTAGGTAAGCCGCTCCGCTTTACTGAGCCACCCATCACAAGCCACCACAAAACTTAAGGACACATCCATCTCAAAAAGTGGAAAACGCTCGAAGTTAGAAATGGATGAAGAAGATGAAGGATTCTGGAAAGACGAGAGAATTAGAATGATCAGTTGAATTGATCTTGACACCTGAAGATTTGAAGCAATGATCGTCAGGTAACTTATATTATATCCAGTCACTTTTGTTTGGGGCAAATGATGTAATTGTGATTTTATCAAATTTGTTTGTGTTTTATCGATGATTAAATATGAACAATAATCGTGATTCATGAATGAAATCCCAAACTCCTGATCCATCTATCCCAATATCTTATCTAAACCAATACCCAAGTCTATCATTCATAAATTAAAAGAGATGCATGAAAAGATACATGAAATGAAAAGTGACAAAGGAAATTCGTTAAGTGACAGCCATGTCTAATTCAAAGCCAAGAAAGCATTTTGAACTGCTACAGGCTCTTTGATACCCCACTGAACCATCCAGTTCTCCAACCACACTCTATTCAAAGGACCGAGATTTCTCAAAGTCTTACTGGCAGACTGAGAAACGTTGGTAGGTAAGGTACGAGCACCCTTCTCAACGGCACCACCAGCTGCTGCCTTGGAGTAGAACTCAAGAAGGCGCATGGCGGGGTTGGCGTCAACATCGACTTTGCCAGTGCGCTCAGCTTCATCCACGGAAGCTTTGAGTGCGTCAACCCATTGCTCAAATTTGACTGGCTTGACCATGCCTTCAGGGTAAGCGGCGAGGAGGTTCTGTCCCAAATCCTCTTCCCAGCTGGAGAACTGTGGGTTGACAACGTGGAAAGTCTTGCTGTGGAGAGGAGCAGAAGAGATAGCGCCTGTAGCGGCGTCAAGTTCTGGCTGAGATGCGGTCTCAAGGATCTCGCACAAGACCTTGGAGAGCTTGTCGACTGGGAGCCAATCGATGTGATCTCTGGATGGGAAGGTCTCTGGGACAACACCGAGATGGGCGGATGAGACAATGATAGATGGAATGTACTCGTGTTTGTTCCACATTCCTTTTTGTTGTTCTACTGGACCGGCTACGATACCAACACGGCAGACAGCAGTACGGACACCGGAGATTTGAGCGGCTTTCTCAAGGAGGGCCTCAGCGATAAGCTTGGATTGACCGTATCCCATAGGTGCTGCGGCAGTGAAGTCGAGGATTGGTGCCTCAGGAACACCACCAACTCCTTTGTATCCACCAACGGCGGCAATGGATGAGATGAACATCACGAAAGCGTTGTTGGTAGAGCTGGAAGCCATTTGAGCGAGGTTGCGAACACCAGTGATGTATGGCTTGAATGAATTGAGAGTCCAGTTGAAGTTAACTGGCCATTGGCAATGAAGGACGTGGGTAACATTCTCCAAAATCTTAGTGTAGTTCTCTTGTCCAACACCCAATTGAGAGTCAGAAAGATCTGCCTTGAGGAAAGTAACTCTCTTGGAATCAATGGGGCTTAATCCTCTTGCAGCGATGGCTTGTTGGTATTTCTCGGCACCACCAGCAGAGCGATCAAGAGCGTAGATGTGCTTAACGTTGGAGTCATTGTTCATCTCATTGAGAAGGTATGAACCCAATGAACCGGTAGTACCAGTGAGGAGAACAGTAGTACCGGTGGTAACTGGTGTGACACGAGGCTTGGACTCGACTGGTAGGGTGGAGACAAATTCTTGGAAGAGAGACTCCATGGCAGTCAATTTAGGATTTTTGACTTCCTTCTCGTTAGGATCGGCACTTTGGTAGGCACTATCAGGATCTTCAGGTGCCAAATCTGCTGTCTTGTAGAGGAACTCAGAGAGCTCAACCAAAGATGGATTGGAGTATACAGAAGCTGGTGAAATGGAGTCCGGAGTGAGGTTGTTGCCACCAGTGAGTTTGGCATGGATCTTGAGCTCACGAACAATCTTGATGACATGGAGAGAATCCAAGCCAGATTCGAAGAATGCTGAATCAGGTCCAAGATTTTGAATGCCGGCGGTCTCCTCGATGAGGTCTTTTAGCCATTTAGCGATGTTGGTGCGGTCGGAAAAGTCCACTCGCATGTCACCGACTTCACCTTCTTGATCATCGAGATTCTCGGCAGCAGTGTAGACATCTTCGATATCTTTCTCGTACAATCTGTATGTCTGATGTCTTTGGATCTTACCTTGACCAAGGTAGTGCATCGGGCGGCTGGGATCAACAAACAAGATGTGGTACTGATCAAGCTGACCGTGAGCAGGAGCGTGGACATTAGCTTGGGCAATAGCTGGAAGCATGTCCTTGATGAGAGCGTGGCGATCAGCAGCGCTAGCTGGTGGAGCATCCTTGAGATCGACAAGAGCAGCTGGTTGGAACTTGCCACGACCGACAACCATGGCACCTTTGACGAGTGGACTGCTACAGAGAGAAGCCTCCATGAGAGCTGGGGCAAGTTTCTCTCCATTGCTGAGGACGATAACATCGTCAGCACGACCTCTCCATTTGTACAAGAAAGGCTTGGCTGGATCAGGGTGGCGAGAGTAGAGATCATTCATGGAGTACTCCTCGAGTTGAGGGAAGGTGCTGAAGATACCCTGGTAGTAAAGATCTAATTCAGGCTTTCGCTCAATGTAGAGCTCGTGAAGACCGTCCATGTACTCTCTGAAGACAATACCAGAGTGAGTTGGATGCCAGTAGAAGTAAGCCCAATCCTCGACGGCAGGAGCCAATCGTGGAAGACAGGCAGTCTCAGTAGCTCCAAAGTTGGAAACAACTCTGCAATGCTTGGAGATAATATCACCGGCAGTCTGGGAGATGGCAGCACCACAAACGAGAATGTAGTTAAAGTTGTGGATACGCTCGAGGGATTTGGGATCGTGGCTCAATTCCTCATAGATGGATGGGGGGCCAATTGAAGCGTCGACACCACCATACTTGTGGATCTCATCGGCATATGCAGCGTGAGGTACGACATTGGCAGAACCGTAAACAGTGGTGACACCGAGAAGGAGAGACATGGTGATACCGATGTTCAAACCACTAGTGTGGAACAAAGGCATGAGATTGTAAGCCCTGCGAGATTGTTGGTAGACTTCAGTTGTTGGAACATATCCGTCGACTGCTGGGATAGTTCTCCAAGCCTCATATGTGCTGAGGATCTCGTTCTTCCAGGTAATAGGCTTTGGAAGACCGGTGGAGCCGGTAGTGTGGAGGACGAGGCACGGGTCGGTTCGTGCCTCAGCAAAGGACTTGCTGTAAGGATAGGCGCGGACCTCTTCATCTTCAAGCAACTCTTCGAGTTCTGGCACTGTTGCAGTGCGCATGTTGCGTTGGCTCAAGATGTTCTCAACATGAGTGTTGCGAGCTGTCAAGAAGATGTGGCAGTCGGACTTCTCAAGAACATTTAGAGACCCGGCGACGCTGTTACGGGGAGAAAGATACAGCATCTTGTATCCGGCTTTGATAGCGCCGAACATGAAAAGAAAGTAACGAATGTCACCTGGTGGCCATGTTAGTATGTCAAATTCATTGTGGAATGGAAGGAATGTACTCACTGTGGCCTTGGTAGGCGACAGCTGGGAATTCACCAGCGGGGGCTTTCCCGAGGATTGACTCCAAGTACCAAGCGGTACGGTTGATCGCATTGGCGAAAGACCTGGCAGATACTTCCACAAAGCCATCTTGTGGCATATCAGTCTTTGGGTAAGCAAAGATTGAATGATCAGGAACCGATCTGGCAAGCTCATCTGGGATGAGGTGAACCAAACGGGCGGGGTTAGAGTTGGCTGCGGCGAAGGCGGCTGGGACATCAGATCGGAGAGTTCCTTGTTGAGACATGTTTAAAGATGGTTTGAGTGATTGAAGAAGTTGAAGAAGTTGATATTATTAGTATGAAGTATTGTTGGATGTAAAGATGGTTGATTGACTCAAAGAAGCTTTAGTGAAGGTGTTGGATGTAGATGGTTAGATGTCTAAGACTCAAGTATTGGAAAACTGGGAAGTGATGTTCTAGCGATGCCTTGATAGAATGTTGAAGATGTTGTTGTTGATGATGATAAAAAAAGTATTTACCTCGACAACATCGACAACTTATATATCAGAATCTTGTTGACTATCGACATAGTGTGAAGTGTATACACTTCCCAAAAGAGTGTTTCCATACCGCGCAACAGGAACATTCCATTGAGCAGTGATGGTATTCGTGGGGAGCGGACAGCCGGAGCAGAGCTAACGGGCTACTTTCGGCCTATTCTATCTTCAATGAGATCAAGTTCCTATACCAAAGGTGTATGAACATTTCCTGCGCGAGATCTAAGATTGCTGCTGGATCTGGAGATGAGATTGGCGCGATTGGGAATTCGGGAGCTTGCAAAAATCTCCTAATGACAACATACCAATGGCTACTCCAGGAGTGGTGTTGCCCTATCTCAGCTTGTTACCTTCTACATGGTAGTAACGCTAGTACCATCGCGCTATGGTACCAATCGTACATCCTAGATCTTGCAGGAGTTTCATGATCCATTGCAACAGACGTTGATGGAGCTTCTAAATCGGGACTGCCAGACACGTTCTGGTCACTAACACTCCGCCATAGCTCCCGGAGCTTGGGCCATACATGCAATTGAGGGGCTTTCCCATGTTTTGATTATGTTCGTGGAGCAAGCATTCTGATAGAAAGTGTAATCTGATAAGGAGTTCAATGATACTTTGCTTTATTGAGTTAGTCTTCAAACTTAAGTAGGTTTGTACAAATTGGGATGCTTCACCGAAGCGTAAGGGAAAGACTGTTGTAAGTCTTGCGTGAGAATTTCCGGATTTCGCACTCAAAATGCAACTGCTGTGTGAAGGAAAATATTACATACCGGTTTGGGATTGTGCACCAAACTTCACTGTCACTCGAATATGATCAAAGCAAATTCATTCCGGTTCTCCTACCGAATCTTAGAGTTTACTTTGTGGAAATATTCCGGTCTTTGTCATTATCTGATATTATTGAATGGAAAACTATGTGAGAGATACCAGCAGTAATCTTCGATTTGAATCGCTGTTACACAGACAGTCTTCTAAACGCACTCTGTTGCTTCGAAAGGAATACCTTTTCGGAGTACTGGACAAACAAGGAATGTAGAAAGGGTAAGGTAGTTGATGAGATGACCTAAAGGCTGCTCGAGGGTGGATGTAGAAATATTTATCACACACCTATACATGGATTCTAGACTCTCCAAGAATTAAATATTAAACAATTTATTTTTGGAATGTGTTAATAAATACAACAGATAATAAACGATTAAATGAAAGAAAAAATACGTATTTCTCCCGGTGTCATTGGCTCATGGGTTCTAAATCTGAGATTGGGACAGTGGCAATGATGAGTTCGTAATTATGGAATTATTCAGAGTAGTAATTTGGAATGCAGGTAGTAGATATTTCCCCAAGTAGACTAGACAGATATAGGGAAAAAATAGTACGCTTTTTGGTACCATAAATCTAATGCCACTGGAAGAGCATAAAATTTCGAAAAAAAGTCGTCACAACATGCTTACATAATTCCTTGGAAGAAGACCTGACAGCTTGTGACTTTCCAAGCATCAATAGCGTTGTGTAAGGTTATGCCACAAATATTCTCCGGCTGAAGATTTGATTCTCTTCAACAACAGATGAAATGCATCAATTATCAAACCCGGCTCCCTGTCTCCGATCGTAAACAATCAGGAGCAACCGAACGGGACAAATGCAATGGAAAAGATTAAGGTTTGGCAGTTTCACGGGCCGAGCCTTACAACATTCCAGCTTGAAGATTATCAGCATCGAACCCACATTCTTTAGCGACATTTCACAACATCCTTCCTATTCCCCCTTTTGGTAATGGAGTCACGGAATCTCATCCAAGTCCTATATCGGTGGCCGCGAGTATAGATATCACCATTACCCCGACTATTTGAAATGAAGTGGACACCTCTTTTACTTTTTGTTATCCCAAGATATAGCCGTGCCTAATTCAAAATCAGTTCACTCTACTGTTGAGAAAGTTAAATACAAGAATCAATATCTCGATAAAATAATTAAACAAACAACTTTTAAAAATCATTTGAAAGATCAAACATGCCTTCTTCTACAAAACTTCCAACCCGTGCTTTGGGACGCAACGGTCCTCAAATTCCTGCCCTTGGCCTCGGACTCATGGGTTTGAGTAGTAAGTCCTTCAAATTCATCAATGAATGAGAACTACATTGACAATTGTTATAGCTTTCTATGGAAAACCTGGCTCGGATGAGGAGCGTTTTGAGTTCCTTGATCGTGCTTATGAGCTAGGCTGCACTCATTGGGATTCAGCTCAAATGTATGGCGACAATGAAGTACTTTTGGGCAAATGGTTCACGAGAACTGGAAAACGCAGTGAGGTGAGATTGCATCAGCTTCCGAAAGAAAGCTAAAAGATGGGTGCTATTGTTGTCTAGATCTTTTTGACTACCAAATTCGGTAACCATGTCACCCCAGAAGGTGGTCGCGAAATCCGAAACGATGCAGAGTACATCCGTCAATCTGTAGCAGAGAGTTTTGAAAAACTTCAAACCGATTACATAGATTTACTCTACTGGTAGGTGCACCCAAAATGATTTCAAGAAAAACGTAATTTGTTCTCATGCGCATCCGAATAGTCATAGATTCACTGGAACAATTCCAGTCGAGACAATTGTTACTGTTATGAAAGAATTTGTCGAGTAAGTCTTCAGTCGCGTCATTTATTTTTTCAGATACTGACTTCGGAAGTGCTGGCAAAGTCAAATATTTAGGTCTCAGCGAGTGTGGTGTTGATACTCTCGAACGTGCTGTTAAGATTCACCCAATTCACGCGTACCAAATTGAGTACAGTCCATTCTCTATGGATGTTGAGAAGCCAGAAGTTGGACTTCTTGACTGTTGCAAGAGACTCGGCATAGCGCTTGTTGCCTATTCACCATTGGGCCGTGGTATTCTCACTGGTCAATACAGATCAGTCGATGATTTCGACAAGGATGATTTCCGACGAACAATCCCACGTTTTGCCACCCAGGAGAACTTCGATAAGAATCTGAAACTCGTCGACACCATTACTGCAATTGGAAAAACCAAGAATGCCTCCCCGGGACAAGTAACACTTGCCTGGATGATTAAACAAGACCCCCTCATTTTCCCAATTCCAGGTACCAAAAAGATCAAGTATTTGGAAGAGAATATTGGAGCTCTGTATGTGGACTTGTCAGATGAAGAGGATAAAGCAATTAGACATGCAATTGAGAGTGCTGAAGTGGTTGGAACTAGAGTTGCTGAGCATCTCATGGGTGTTCTTGTGGTTGATACTCCTCCTCTTACCAATTAATTGGTTCAGGAGATTAATGTTGGATATGGAACATGAGTTGTTGGTGAAATTAGTTTTATAGAGAAGACACCTTATATGGTGCACCACAGAATTTGACCACGATTTTCTACGTACCGCTTGAATATGCTTGTCCTATTTGTGAGGAATAAACTCTGTAATGTCTTTGACTCAGGATTTTCATGAAAGTCAAAAGATATATGATGAATATTAGCATCTGCTTAGGTACAAGTAGTGTAAAAATCTGTTTTATTTCCCATGAAACTTACTATTGAACTTAGGTACCGATCACCATCTCGACTTACAGGTGTCTGATAAAGTGATGATGAGCTATTCTCAATTCCAATGTCACTTACAGTAGTTGAATTCGGGAATCGAATGATGGCTTTCTCGAAATTGCATCAATGACTGATCATTTATCACTGATAAGCCAATTCTCACATTTAGATGGTGTAGAAGGACAATTTCTGTCGGAAATGCGAGACATACCTACCTACCTACCTGGTAATCTTTCAACGCTTTCATGGGCTAAGGTTGTGCGTCTCATGTGGCTGGTGAAATGATGACATAATCATTGTTGTGGTGGTCCAGAACCTTAACCCAACCATCACAATCTAAGTTCTACCCCGAGTCAACAAGCACACGACTTCTTCATCTCGGGTGAAATCTTCAACAATACGATAGCCACGTAATATCGTGCTGCAGTAAACATTGGCTAAATGCACCCATTGGTATTCTATCCCGTCAGAAGTTCTGATGAGGTCTGAATTTGAGCTCCGAGGTGTGCACACAGTGCAGGTAATCATTTAGCGTGAACTTGCGGCACTACAACTAGGCTACGTGAAGACTCCGGTGTTATATCAATTGGCTTTCATCCATTTGTAAACAATCAAAGCGGAAAGTTGCCGAGATGGAGTTATTGTTATGCCAGAGCTAGCAGACAAAGCGAGTGTTTGGAAGAATGAGGGATGTGTGTGAAGCATAGAGTGCGGAGAAAACAATCACCTTAGCAATTCCGGAGTTGAAGAAACTCTAATGAGCGCAAGAATGGGTGAAGTGACGAGGATTGCTTTACCGGACTCACGTTTTCGGTATACAGTCACCAAGCCATGGCTGACCGATGCATCCGAATTCTCAACCCGAAAGGTGTTTATCAAGTCGGCTCCCCAGCTCAGATTTCATTCATTCTTCAGTCCTCTCTCATCAACATCTCTGCTATCTCTCTATTCTTAATCAATATCTCTTTCGCTCTATTCATAGCCTCCTTAGTTGTCGTTTAGATCATAATGGCCCATCTCACCCCAGAGCATATCTTGCACCTTTACGATACCTTCGGAGAGCTCAGGGTGCTCGACGATATTATCCGCCATCGTTCCAGAGATAATCCTCCTGCTCCTATTCTGGGATATCCAAGAGTTGAGGATAATCCAAGCGATTATGAGACTTTCACTGGTCAACAGCTTGACTCATTCGTCGATGCTGCATGCAAATACTTCATTAAGAATGGGTTGAAGCCTGTAAGTCAACTTAATATGCACCCCCAAGACTCACTGTAACTATTCTGACTCTGAAATTAGGGCGGGAAAAAAGTTATTGGTCTATACTCTCCATCTAATGTAGACTTCGCGGTCACCTTCTTCGCTCTCAGTCGTTTGGGCTACACTGTTCTCTGCCTCTCCCTTCGCATAGCACCCATAGCTATCATCAACCTGCTCAAGCAAACAGAGTGCGAGGTCATAATCCGTGGTGATACACCACAAATTGCTGCTACTTGTGATGCCGTTGCACAAGAGGCCACTTTAAGATCTGTCGTCATTCCTCAGCGGGCTCAATATGGAGTACCACGCCCAGCGAGTGAGAAGCCTTTCATAAGAGAATTCGATCGCGAGGTTGAGACCAATGAGGTCGCCATTGTCATGCACAGTTCTGGATCTACTGGGCTACCTAAACCGGTATTCCTTACCCACAAGAATGTGTTGACCCATCCAGTACAAGGTGCTGGAATGCACAACTTCGGTGCCCTTCCACTGTACCACATGTATGGTCTCTCGACTACACTCCAAGCTATGTACATGGCAAAGAAGGCAAACTTGCCTAGTGCTACTCTACCAATGACTGCAGACAACCTCATGCTCGCAATTGAAGCAACTCAACCTGAGGTGTTTCACGCTGTACCATATGCTTTGGGACTCTTAACTGAGCACCCAAGAGGTATGGCATATTTGAAGCAAGCTAAGATTGTCACTGCAGCCGGTGCTCGTACTCCTGATGAGCTTGGTGATCTCTTGGCCTCGGAGAAGGTTAATATTGGTGTCGTATTTGGAACGTGAGTATCCCATTCCACCTGTTTACTTCTGATCTCATGTCAACTAACTTCAATTAGTACTGAAGCAGGTCTTCTTGGTGATACTATGCGCCGTGCCGACGGCGATGACTCATGGAATTACGTTCGAATCTACCAAAACATCAGAAGTTCTATCTACATGGACCCTCTCGGCGACAATCAATTCGAGTGTGTGTACCTTAAGAGCCATCCAGGATTGTCCGTCTCAAACTCGGATGATCCCGCGCCTGGTTCGTGGCGTTCGAAGGACGTTTTTGAGCCGCATCCAACCATTCCTGACACTTGGAAATATGTGACTCGTCTTGATGATCGTGTCACCTTGAGCAATGGAGAGAAAGTTCTTCCACTTCCAATAGAAGGTCGTCTCCGTCAAGAAGAGATCATTCGTGAAGCTGCCGTTTTTGGTGTAGACAGAGCTATTCCAGGTGTCTTGATCTTCAGAGCTTCCGATGAGCTCCCAGATGAAGAATATCTTGAGGCTATCTGGCCAGCTATTGTTGACGCCAACTCTCGTGCTGAGGGCTTCTCTCAAATTACCAAGGAGATGGTCGGTCTTGTAGCTTCAGATATTGAATACCCCAGAACTGATAAGGGAAGCATCATACGCGCACAAATCTACAGGAAGTTTGCGGATAAAATCGATGAATTGTATGAAAGTCTTGATGGAGATGCGGAAGGAACTTTACAACTCGATCTCGCCGGTACTGAAGTTTTCTTAACCGAGACATACGAGGATATTACAGGCCATCCTCTGGAATCCATCGATACCGATTTCTTCAATGCCGATATTGACAGTTTGAGGGCCATTCAAATGAGACGCATAATCCAGAAGACTCTTGATCTTAAGGGCCAACAACTTAGCAGTAACGTCGTTTACGAACATGGAACTGTCAGAGCTCTAGCACAATACTTGTTCTCTCTTAGCTCTGGTGGAGGCGAGCAAAACAAAGATAACGTTCCACTGATGGAATCATTGATTCAGAAATACTCCACCTTTGGAGAAGTTGTGGTATGTCTAGTTTCCACTACCCTTTTGATGCCAATATACTTACATGAAAATAGATCTTGACTGGTGCTACTGGCTCTTTGGGTGCTCACGCCTTATACCAGATGGTGAACAGCCCCAAGTTCAGAAAAGTGTACTGTCTTGTTAGAGGAGAGAATCCAATGGACAGAGTCTTAAAGTCTATCAAAGATCGTGGATTATCTCTCACTCCTGCCGCAAGATCTAAGGTTGTCGCCTTTACGTCTGATCTTGCCCTCAGTGATCTTGGTCTTGGAAAAGCTATGATTGAGCAATTCAAGACTGAGGTCTCACTCATCATTCACTTAGCGTGGTCTGTCAACTTCATCATTGGCTTACAAAGTTTTGAACCCCACCTTGCTGGATTGAAGAACCTTTTGGACCTCTCGCTCGCTGTCTATCGTTCAGAGCCAGCTCGTCTTTTCTACGCTTCCTCTATCTCCACAGCTGAGAACACACCTGCACCAGCTCTCATCCCAGATGCTCCAATTGAAGACTTCAATAACGCTTTGAATATGGGTTATGCCCAATCCAAACTTGTTGGTGAATACATGGTTCTTAATGCTGCTCGTGGTGGAGCCCGAGCCTATGCTCTTCGTATTGGACAGATTGTAGGAGACAGGGATAACGGTTTCTGGAACGAAGCCGAATTCGTGCCATCCATGATCAGATCTGCACTTTCCATGAAAGTTCTCCCAATTTTCCACGAGAACTGCTCTTGGATCCCGGTTGATACCCTTGCCACTGCCATCTTAGAGATTGATGAGAAACTCAAGTCACTTCCTCGACCATGTGCTATTGACAGCACCAACCCTCCTATTGTCTACAATATGGTCAACCCTGCCACATTCACTTGGGAGTCTCTTCTCGGCGAACTTTCTACAGCCGGTCTTGACTTCAAAGCTATTCCATTCGGAGATTGGTTACAAAAGCTCAGAGAGTCAGCTGCTAACGGCCAAGAAGAGCAAAACCCAGCCGTCAAGCTTTTGGATCATTTCGAACAGCGATACCTTCAGAGTAACAACGGCCATGGCTACAGCGGTGCCGAGGCTACTGCAAGTTCAAGTGGTGCTAGCAGTCCTCGAAGCAGTATCTCTGGTGCTACACCACCAAGCAGCAAGGGAACTAGTATCAGCGACTTTGAAATTGTCGGAGTCACATTCGACACCAAGGCAATCTTGAGAGATAGCAAAGTCTTGCAGAGTCCACCTGATATCATTCAGGATGGATACGTGAAGCAATTCTTGAGTCAATGGTTGAAGAAGTGGGTTAAGTGATTGAAAGCTTATGGATCAGGTGATATGATTTGATGAAATCATGGTATAGAATATATGCGATTACGGCTTCTTTTAGATTTGTATGCGGGGCGCAAAATTGTTGCAGATGACGAATGTTCTCTTTTGTTTTCTTTTCTCATGGGGTCTGGCGTAAATTTTACATCATTCTTGTAATTAATCGTTTCTAGCTCACTATTCATACATGAAATGGAAGAAATACTTGAACTTTGGAAAGCCTATTTGAAGAGTATATGTCTGTGGTTCAGCTGGAAGATGCACTATCATTCACCGACAGTATGCTGAGCCCGAGCTGACAACCGCTTCAAGTACCCATAACCTGGTCTCGTGCCGTAAATTCCATCAAAAATACAATTGCCGCCTTGTAGCAGAGAGTCCAAGCAAATTTAAGAGAAATTCTCATCACGATCGCGGTCATTAATCTTGAATCACGACAAGCAGTTTCAGCCATTGAATTATGTTGAGCTCGAAGGCTAACCTCTGAAGTTCGTTTGATACCTGATACTATTGCAACCTACAGTTACGAAGCATATAGCTAGACGCTTGACACATGCCTTTAATGCCCAAGTTCGAGATGGACATCAACGCGGAATTATTTCAGTCCCATCTCCATGGCAACCTTCAAAACCCACAATGGGTGTATCTATCATTACTAAACCTTCTCTCCCAATTGATAAATTACACATTCTTCAATCTTCAATCCAGCCTCCTGGCTTTCCCACGATCTAGTCTTCGGGCCAGGCCGTTGAAGATTGAAAATAGACTTGTGCATGAAAAAAGCAGCCAAAATTAAGGACCCAACCGATTTTCGGTTTCGGGTATGTCGGGTCTCGTTGCACAGTATGCATATTCGGCTCGGTAGGACAGGAAATACTACGTGCCAAGATACGGCCCTTTCGTTGACGAGAAGAAATATATTGTACTCGGGGTTTGGGGTATGAGTTGTACTCGGGTTCTTGGATCATACAGGATAATGGATAGTAAGCGAGTTTTTGCTCCGAGATCGCTGAGTATGGGGAATTTCATGCTGAATGGGATTCTGGATATGCGGATGTGGAATTGGGATATTGGGTTGTTCGATAATAAATGTTCTGGGGTGCTTACCCCGCATTTTTAGCTTCTACTATCATTCATCCCCACTTCCACCTGATGTCATGTTTGAAATGGTCTCGCATGACCGCTACTCATGAAACTTCCAGATATTTTGATACTCAGTACTAATTGGATCTGAGTCTTGACTCAAACTAGAGAAGTCAATGTCTGTAGTCTAGTGGGCTTTTGTTCAAGGATACTTCACTCCATCTTTGTTTCTAGTAGCAAGACATAATATCCACACATTGGCAAGGGTCTTGAGGTCTATCTTCGGTATCAAATAATTGTACTTATATAGCTGAATATATCCTTGATCCTTCTGAAAACAATATTTTACTCTTTTGAAATTTTTAATACCAAAGTGCCTTGTTCCAGAACACACTCTTTTCACTGGCCAAGATATCATCTTGAATATACATGGTATCATTAAAAACCAACTCCTGGCCAGGCGAAGATGCATTTCCTCCATGTAATGGCCAGTATAGTTTATCCTCCGGCCACATCTTATTCGGGTCCCCAGTTAGGATAAACGACACCAAATATTTTTGCATCTTAAGAGCAACACTGAAATCAATGTCTGTAGTGGTAACAATACCGGCACCCGCTGCAGTTGTAGTTGTAGTGGTAGTGGTATTTGTTTCAACAAGAGTGAAGTTACTGTACCAATAATAATTTTGATCCATGCCGTGAGTAGCTACACCAAGCGCCACCATAGCATTCCAGGTTTGGTTGTTAAGTGCTTCAGTTAGAGCGTAGTTGTGGGCCACAAGCTCGAAGTCCTGGTCAATATCTGCAAAACGAAGTCCTTCACTTGTATAGTCGGCTGAGGGGTAAAGATCCTGGATTTCATTGATGATACCATCTGTAATACAAGGGAAGTATAGTCGCAGATGGGGAGCGACATCTGAACTGGTATTGACACCCGCAGGTATTTTTTTGTTGACTTCGTGGAGCTCGTGAGTTATTACTAGAGGACCAGTGAAGTTGAAGCGTTTTTGATAGAGCTGAGATTCGTCTGTTGACTTTAGTTAGTAATGGATGAGATAGTATCTATAATTGAGGACGCACATGTATCGGAAATAAAGTCCCCATCTACACGAGGTTGGAATTTATATGTGTAATTAGCCACCATGTTGGTAGCGGCTGTTTGAAGGGTTGTGAAGTTAACAGAGCGCAAGCATTTCAAGCTACCACCCGAGCACCCAACAGAGCTGGATACATTTTGGTAAAAGGCCTAAATATATTATGAACAATCAATCCAAGAATTGTATGGATATATAGAAAATCTCACCTCAGCATTCTGATGACCAGCTCCGGGTACATAGCCTGGCGACATAAGGTACGCACGAGCAAAAGTCTGTTCAGCACGACCAGCAAATTTCTACACGAGAAGGGTCAGTCATTGATTTATATTTTGGATTAAAATAGATCAGTTTCATACAGTAATCTGAAAAAGATCCTGTGAAGCACCGGCTGAGAATCCAACGGCTACTATTTCTTCTGGATTACCACCCCAGTGGCTAATATACTTTTTGACCCAATCGAAAGCATGCGCAGAATCCCAAACTACAGCATTCGAAGTTCCGCCTTCGTGATTCAGGGTCGGACCGTTAGCTAGACCTGTCATTCCGAGCCTATAGTTATAGGCAACGAAGATGAAATCTTTACTCAAGGCGAAGAGGGCTTCAGGAGTGACCGCTGTCTTGCTTCCAAAGATGAATCTACCTCCATGTGACCATACAACAACGGGCAGGCTCTTGTTGGCACTATTAGCAGGTGCCCAGACATCAAGGTACAGACAGTCCTCATAAGTTGCGCAGTCGACATTTTCTGGAGCCAAAGTACCGTCGTTCACAACGGTCTCAACTGGGGGCCATTGTGGTTTTGCAAAACGAAGATCTCCAGTAGGAACAGCAGCATAACGAATGTTTTGGTACTTGTAATATCCAATCGATTCACTACCAGCGGTGGCAACAATGGTCGAATAATCCAAAGTAACGGATGGCATAGAAGTGACCGTGGCACTGGCTGCATTTGCGACGGCAGCTGCTGAAGCAGCTATCGGTAAAACATATTTCGAACACCAGCGCATGACGAAAAGAAACTCTTGGTCGTTGAAAATGAAGCTTGAGATGAGACGAACGCTATGCAACGAAGAGAGAAGTTTGAGATATTGATAAATGTCTTCGGATGCATCCCAACATTGAACGGACAATACGATGTCCGGCAGGTGCCCAGAAGTGGACGACACCCCACAAGTGGACGCGTCCCCTTAACTTGGAGTGCCGAGATATGTCACTAGACATTTTTTGCGGGGTGAAGTGGACTGGTTCCTTGAATAAATACTGATGATTCACGAAAATCCGCCCCAAACACAGGCATCTCCATGGTGTGTGATGCTTGCACGGGTCTCTATAAGGTTTGTGTAAGATCTGAAATGAGGACTAGGACGCTGTCAGCGGTGTATAAAGCACGGCTGAGAGGAGAATTAGGTTCACAAGCCCGAAATTTATCCTCGGGCTAACTTCAAAGCCTAGGTTTCTCGCAAGTTTTGGGGCTTCATGACCCTATCTAGCCGCCAGTCACACCCACAAATGATGCTTCATTGGGGTTACGTAAGTAACTGAAGTGCGCTGAAAACTACTGGTTGGTGTGCATTCGCGTCCACCCGTCCACAATGGCTCGATATTAGCAATAAAAGCTTAACTACAGAGCATCGTACAGAGACAAGCATGTGAACTTGCGATCGAGCCTTTGAAGCCGACTGACTCAGTGGAGCTAGGGTAGGGCAGCACCTTTCATAAGAAAGTCAACAGAATTGTTTTGCAAACGAGTGCGCGAACAGTGTCTATTGGAATATAATTATAAGTCTGAGACGAGTTTAATTAATAAGCTATGTCACCAGCCAAAAGAGAAGAGTCTGCACTAACATCAAATTTGCTCGAAAGGAGCTGGAGTTCAAAGATGGCCCCGGACGGGGTACACCTCCCACCAGCCACTCGTGGCGCGTGGCGCGTCTGGAAGCCGAAGTAAAGCCGTGTATTGAACCTTGCGCACTCCGACTGTCAGCTCTAGGTAAGCTGAGATATCTTCATTGATTTTATCATTTTTATCCTCTTGATATTCTATGACGCATATCTAATGACATCAATAGGAAAAAGTTGACCAGCAAGATCTCTTGAACGACGCGGAATCGTACAGCACAGAACAACTTTTCCGATGTCTCTCAGTACCACCACATTAACTACCCACCTAGGGGAATAGCAACGAACGAGCACTCATGTTGAAGAGCCTCAAACTCGCTTAATATCAGGTCATGTGCGGTCCTTGAACGTATGGAGCTTCATATATCACTCTTGATTTCTCCTTTTGGAAATATTACCATCTCCAGGCAAGCCGTGTATTTTCTCCGTTGCCTCCTTTGGGAAATTTCCACATCCAGCGAATTTTCTCTTCTCTCTATTATTTTGAGTTCAACAACTGAAAGCAATCCGTGGCATCGATATCGATAGATACACCCAAGTATCCACGTATTGTCATCCCTTGCTCCTCGTCGTGAGCTTACATGACATACAGATTTCCGCACCTCCATATACTCCCGGTCGTAATCTCGCAAGAAAACTGCACCCCTTGGCGAGATGGCAATCGCTTCATTTTCACTCTATCTGGCGTGATTACCGATACCGAGGTCACAGCGAAAACAGAGCCTGTGAAATCTCTACTTTGTGGCTTGAAGAAATCGCCACTGTCATCACGATATCAAATTTTAGGATCAAGGCCGATGCACAATCTTCACTGGTGACTGCAGGGTATAAAGGGCTTGAAAAAGGCTAAGGACACACATTCCATGCCGAATTCCAAATACTACAAGGCCAGTAGATAACTGACATCTATACTAGATCCACTATGTGTCCTCACAGATCTTCAACAGAACCCTTTTAGTCTTGAGGTACAAGGTTTCATCAGCCTGGCAGGGGACTCGGACGAGGTCCAACAATCTCTTATAATTTTTTCGAAGCTAACTTCGATGATATCAGCGTAATCTTTACGCGGCGGTCAATCCTGCAGGTGAACCTAATGCATGTATCTTGAATAATCCCATAAGACATGAGTTCCCTCCGTATATC